TGGTTCGCAGGTGTACTTGACAGCTGTCAAGGTCTTGTCAGTCGCTGTTTTGCTTCAGTGGAAGACATCCTGAAACAAGTACTGTACACGGGATGAGGTGTTTATGCTGGAAGAGCTTTACTTCTTACATGTTGATTCACTATCACATTGTAGGCACATGTTGATTTTGTAGAACCCAGAAGTCCAAGTCATCTATGAACCACCTTCGCAGGACATGGAGAGTCCGCTCATGACACCGGCGAATGAAAGCCAGGGCGCGGGCGCCTTAGCAAAGGCCCTCGAAGAGGACGGGTTTGTTTTCTGCCTATGACATGACAAGCAAACAGGGGAGGATGACAGGACGCATGACCCTTTTGCGAGTGACATGACCTTCCATTTCGGTTTTCATGAAAAAGCACGTCGGCTTTTCTTGTATTCACCAGCCGAAGTGGCACAGAGCCTTCAAGCATGTTCAAGCAATCTCATGCCAAACCTGAACATGTCAGAAGAAGATAGTGTAATAGTGGAGAAGAACAGTGTATTTTATAGCTAGCTTCTTGTTCCTAGTAGTAACAAGTGCATCGCTAGTAGTAACAAGTGCCTTACTAGTAGTAACAAGAAGCTAGTAGAAACATAGCGTATGTTCTGAAGCTCTCCCAATCCCTCCGACCGACCGAAGCCGGTTTTCCGCGAACCGCTCCCGGAGCCAGGACCCCGCGGAGCTTCCGGAAGCCGACCCAGAGGCTGCGAAGGCGGTTCCGTGGAATGGGAGCGAGGAATCAGACACGCGTTCCAAGGGGAATGGATACTATATGGGATCATATATCTATATACACATGGGATGTTACACATGGGATACATATATATATATATGGGATACTATGGGATACATTAGGATACTATATATATATATGTTGTATATGGGAATACTATATGTTACTATATGGGATGTTCTTTGGGTGATTGGGATACATTGGGATACTATACCCACTTTGCTACGCGAGATTCGACAATTCGACGATTCATTCTTTCAGTGCACGAGGTTATTTAAGAATATGTTTTTCTATTGGCATGACAGGACCGCCACCCACCGGTTGCAACCGATCAGGTAGTTTCAGGGCCTTTGGGAAGACGAGTGGACGCGCCACTCACATCTTCTGAGCGGAGTTCGATCTACCATGATCTACCCATATCATATCCAATAAATGACAGACAAGGCGTGGAGAGAACGACGGCGTCCACAGATCAATTTGCATGTTGTCGCAATCATGCGGAAGACGTTGCAAAGTATTTAGGGACCTGACGCTAGCCTGGAACATGCCCATGAGTAGCATGTATCGAAGAACCAACCAAATTGCCCGAGCATGCCCGAGCAATCGTCCTGAAGAAAGAGGACTCAAGTTCAAACCAACACAAAACAGAAACAAGCTGAAACAACGACATCATCGAAACAACAAAGACAAGAGCGCATGCGGCCGCATGCGCATGTCCCACTTCTTTCCGCAACCCACCACACCCAGTAAGAATCGATTGCGGCATTCGGCGGCGTCCGGAGTCCGCTCCTTCGTTTGCCGGCCAGGCCGTGTGCTCAGTCCGCCTCAAGAAGACGCCGGTGGACTCTGAACTCCTGAGCCGGTGACGCACGGTGTGGGGCGTCTCTCCCGTGCTGGGGGAGCATTCTAAGAACAACACATGATCAACCAGATGACACTCAAAGGGGGGAGAGGTGATGGGGAGTTTTAATGGCACCCCCTGACTTGTGGTGGATGACTTTAATTATAACTGCTTATGTTGCATAATGTCATTGCAGACACTCAAAACAACACATTGTGTGCAGATTCACCCACAGCATATTGGTATTCAACGTATTGTAAAATATCAACAACATGCAATACGCATAACATACATTACATGTTGTTGTTTTGTTTGTTTCATTTTGTGTGTGTGTTTCTTTGGATATTGTATATTTTGTATTCCATGATCGTCAGCACATGTCAGCACTATTTCTGCTGGTCATGAAGCATAGTTTTTGAACGTTTCCCCAATACAATATCTTCATAGTGCAGAAGAGGTATGGGCTCCCTCCTACATACAGTAGTATACACATAGTCATAGTCGGTCAACATCGCCTAACTCTAAAAGGATCGATCTACTGAGTCTACTCACAATCCATTGCTCGGCTCGAGCCGCGAGCTACCCTTCGTGCGATCCGGCCCCGAGCACAGCTTGGAAGTGTGAAAGTGGGCCACGGGGGGTGGAGCCGTGAAGGGGTGAAACTCAAGTTTCCAATCAGATCAATTAGTCCTCAGCGTCGAAGGATGCAAACTGCGCCGCTCGTATACCGCTTGCAGAACTCATCATTTGTCCGTCATTTGAGCCATCACTCTTGTGTGAGAATTGGTTCCGTATACCAGCTTAAGTTGGTCTTGTGCGTGCGGGTGCGCTTATCCTTTTTTGCTCTTCTTATCCTCGTGATCTTCGTGTTCATGTCATTCTCCTCGATTCCGTGCTCGAAGGTGCCAACATCGTCTTCGTTTGGGGTGTCCAAACATCCGCCAAAACACCGGGTGTTTGGGGTCGAGAATCCCAGCATGTTGTTAGCCATGGTAGGATCGGTGTTTGGGTCCGTTTGCAAGGGTTTTCGGGTGTCACCACGTTCCATGCCGAGAAGAATCTAGAAAGAGCAGGAAGATCATCAGAATGACCATTGATGACCTACCTCGCTGAAAAGTCACGTGGATCCTGAAAATCACTGGTTTGTAGAGGAAAACGCTCTTTCAGGGTGTCATTCGATCCGCGTCGATGGGAATATTGGAGTGCAAGACATCGACTCGTTGCCTTGGAGACTATCTCGTCCTTTGTGCTGCTTCATATCATTTCATAGTTTTCTTTGTCCAGAATCAAACTTCATTGTTCTGTCATTTGTGTTTCTTGCTTGAAGCAGATTGTTTCACCATGTTTCACGTCACACTGTACGCAACCAAAGGGTCCTTTTCTCCTTCTTGACTTACTACCAGTATTTCTTTCGACTTGATTTCATATTTTGAGGCACTCGGAGATCCCTCCGGAGTCCAGGGAAGGCCTTGGCAGCTTTCCGCAAAATCCGAAAATGCCCGTGGCATTGCCCAAATTTTCTCGAACAGGGCGGTCAGCTGTGCGAGGTGAGCTGGAGACAGTAAGTTGACTTCACACAAACTAGTACAAACTATATCAAACTATAAAGTTGAAGTGATCAGCCTATCCCGCAGCTTTGGGATGCTTTGAGTCATTTGGCCTCTATGTTTGCCTTTTGCTTGTTCAAAATCGGGGGTCTAGGATAGTTCACTATAGTATTGTTTTGTTTTGTTCCGACTACTTCTACAGCTGTTCACGCAACATCAATCTTCACGCTTGCGCTTCAGCACAGCTGCCGAGGTGGGTGTCATGCCGAAATGCCTCGTTGGGAGGAGCGCCTTCCCAATGGTTCCTTCTGAAAAGTGTAACAAGAGTAGAACAGCCATAGTTTAGTGGGCCAATGGGGGTTGTAGGTCATTTCTTTCGTCCGCTGCGAGGATAGGAGAAAGATACTGAGCCATTTTTACATCATTATAGGAGCAATCCTATGCAATCCTTGACCTAGAGAAATTGGTTTAACCACAAGCTCTCCTTTGGGTCGGGCATCTTTGACCCTCGGGTTATACCACACGGACTTGCAGGATGCTGCATAGGTTTTCGCCGGAGGTTGCTTTGTTGGGAGAGCTCTCCGGATGTCACTCCACGCGTGGATGGGTTGGATTTGCCAAATCTCACATCAACTCCAAAAGGCGCCTCATCTCCCAGATGAGGCCGGTTGAAACAAGCCGACCACTCCGGTGCAAAAGACGCACGACCCGCGATCAGCAAATCATTTGCGACAAAAGATGCGCGGACCGCCGGACCGCTCGGGTGTTACACTGTTAAGGAGGACAACGGTCTATGCTGAGATGGGACTGAGTTTGGTACCATATAGTTCTTTCCACACCATTTTTCAATGGCCGGAGTTGGTTGTTTTATGAGTTCTCACCAAGGTATGTGCGAGTTTGGGGTCATATGCAAACCTTAAAAGCTCTGACACATGAACCATTGTGAACTGTAGACTAGTCACTTCAGTCTGTGAATCAATTGGGTTTTCCTTTTGAACATGTATATGTCTGAGCGGCAGGCAATGGGTGGGCTGTGTATGGCTTAGCTGTTTTTTATTCAGAACGGAATGAGGCTCTCCCTTTGCATACAACGACGGCTCCGGCTTGGCTGCATATTTAAGTCCTGCAAAAGTGACATAGCTCACCACCATGGCTTTCTCGAAGCACTGAGATGTTCCATCGAACCAGTCGAAAAGCCCCATTCGCCGAAGCCCTCGACCAGAGAAAACCAGAACTTGGGCGAATGGACTCCATGAGACTAAGTGCCAACACCAGTTTGCGAAGCTACAGCCCATTGCTTCAATGTCGTTGGGAGCTCTAAAGTTTTTCAATCGTTTGTCCACTTACCGTAGAGCGGGTTGAAACACCGAAAGCCGAACGGGCCTGAGTACTCTGAGTATAAAGGACTTGGAAAGTTCAGCGAATTGCCTTTGTTTTAGATTGACCAGATGTTGGACTTGAGAAGCGCTGTCCTGTCAGAAGAACACTACTTTAATTCAATTTGACCTTGGCTGTTTTCTTATGGTTTATTAGCATTGGTCTACTTGTTTTTGCTTGCCGCTCAAGTTGGAGTTATGGACCTGGCTGGACACGCCTGTTTCGCTTTGAGATATATCCATACACTCTAAGCTTGTTTTTTCCTGCAAATGACATTACTGAACAGGGTTTTCAAGTCCAAGGAAACCACTGGCTTTCCAACAAGTAAGCTATACATCAGTTCAACACCAAAGCCACCCAGAACTTCTTGAAAAAACAAATAAACAAACAAACAAAACAAAACACAACAAACAAACAACAACAAAAAAACACACAAACAAAACACCAGTAAACGTCATGTTTCATGTTCTCAGCCTGGTACAGGCCTTGCTGACCAAAGCGCAGCAAACAGTGGTGGACTTGGTGCTGCAGCTTGGTCCGCATCTTCCGGCTGGGAGTTCGCCAGGTTGAACATTAAAATGGGTTTTGAGAAGTTGCCTTTTTTTCCATATGGATGTGTTTCTGTCGGCATCATGAGTTTCCTTTGTTTTCCTGCCGGGTGTCGTTTCCAAGTGCTTTTTTGGGGCTCCAGCTCAGTCACAAGACTGAGATGAAGTGATGCAGGTGGTGAAGGGAGTTTGTGGCCAGGGTCTAAGACCCTGGGGCGACTGAAGAACCGCATAGGATCTTCTCCTTGGCAGGAAAATGTCCAACGAGGCAAGGCGATCTTTCCCTGCTCCACATGAAGTAGCTGCTAGCTTCGTGGTTCGTCGGAGGTGTGGGGGTTTTTGATTTGAGTCCTCCAAAGTGGTCATTGGAGAGCGAACATGTTGGAGCTGGGTGACGACCAGAACTTGTCACTTGTGATTCAGGAGCTTCCCTTCATTGAACGGCACCCCCTTTTCGAATGGGCAATGGCTTCCAACCTGGTTGAGCTATGGCCTCCAACCTAGTAGCAATGGCCTCCAACGCTGGGTTCGACCGGCTTGACGCGTAGTTGACAGGCGTGGTCACAATGTCTTCTTGACAGGCCGGTGGGTCGCGTTTTGGGCGAAAGCGACTGAAACGAACGCATTCTTCCACGGCCGAAGCAGTAAAGCGACTGCCCAGTTTGGATTTGTTCGAAGAACTTGTCTTAGGTAGTTGTCTTGGTATCTCAAGAGTTGTAGGGTGTTGCAAGGGTAATTAGCTTGTCGGATGTCACATTGATTTCGAGACGGGCATGAAGAGGTGACTGAGGAGATCCTGTGGACAAGCGGGCAATCAACCAACATATGGCTATGTTCAGTTTACGTAGTAGTTGTGTGAATTCGTCCTGCAATCAAATCACTCTGTTGAGATTCAGTGAAGCTCTATTGATTTCGGAGAAGGGATGTCCTGTAGCCCAACAAGTTGTGCCAACCCACAACTTCTGGGTTGTTCATCCCAGTCTCGTTGGTTTGTTTGGTTGTCAGTAAAGGATAAAGGCTGACGGCCAGACGCCGGCCGACAGCTCGTCCATCGGCTGTGGGCTGTCGGCAGTCGTAGCTTACGACAACTTAGAACAACGAGTCGGAGCTTTAGGAAGCAACGCCAAACTCGCTTCGAGACTCGCTCGCAAGCCAGCCGGCCGATTATTCAGATCTGAGGGTGGGTAACGGAGAATGCCGGGAACCCGTGTTGAGGGTAGCAGTGATGGGAGATTGAAGGAGATCAAGAGTTCTCTCAGGGTCCAAGATGAAATAGTTTGTGTGACGCTTAGGATATTTCAGTACCTAGTACCAAGATGTACCAAGTATCAACCATAGGATCCAGAGCACCATTAGGCCATAGGTGGTTGGTGGATGTCGGTGCTTGTGGTCCATGGCCTTCATTGCCTCCGTGAAGTCGTCGACCGTGGGTCAGGTGCTGCGGGCTCCGGGTGCAAGCGACATGTTTAATGCGTGGGGAGGTGAAGGAGGATAACACGGAGGTGAATTCCCGTGGGCACCGGGAAGGGCTTGCTGGAGAATAGCGATGCTGAGCGGGAACAATTGGAATGAAGATCATACTCCCACCCAGCAGAGGAGGATGTCGGGTTGAAAGTCAAGTGAAATCGGGAAAGCACTTGACTTTTCAATTGAGAGTCGATCACATGATGTCGGGTTCTGAGTGTTGAATCCATCGTTGAGCTGGGTTGCAGTGTTGAATCCAGCACTATACTCGATCTTGGCTGGCAACAACACACTGGACATGGGCTCATGAATAATGATTACAATACTTTCATTATGTTTCATTGCGATTCCTTATTGAGACATTTTGAGTAACAATTAATCCGGGCCTGCCCCTTTCTAATCCTCAGGAGACTGACACATGACGGTTGATGACCGGTGCCATTGAATTACCGGAGTTGGAGCGCATCCACATGATCCAGATGGAGGGGGATTGGCCAAGACAGCTGACATACTTTAAAGCACGTGGTAAGTGTGTTTTGTATGCCCCGAGTCCCTGACCAGATGGAGGGACTGTTGCTTGCATATCGTTCTCCTCAAGAAACCATCATAAAGTTTTCTCGGGTCCACTCGCACATTTGAGGATGGGTCCTAAAAAACTAAGGGCCTATAAGGGCCTAGTGCTTGCTAGTGCTGGTGCTGACGGACTTGGCAGTTGACTGAGGGTGGTTGGATCCAATGCACTGTATTGTTCGAATGGAAGGAACCACCTCATTCCTTGTCAGTCTCTACAGGCCATTGCAAGGGTTTACCTCCGATGATGCGATGGAGTCCTGGTGCCCACGTAGTCCTTGCTGCAGCACAGCTAGCGGTTAGTTTGCAAGAATGTGAAGTTTGGCACAGCCAGCAGGAAAAGGAAAGCACTTGTGCAAGTGCAAGCCAAGCATCAATGAATATCAATCATATATGATGATAAGTATGATGATATACATGATTATGCATATATGTATACACCATATTCAGCCACGATCAAAGTTGCCCTTGTACTGGCACATTGTGAGAAGCATGTTTGGTCGGAACTAGATGTGTGGTTAAGCTTGCATGTGTGCTGCTGGGCGCATGCCCACCATTGCCAGAGGCAGCTGAGCATAGTGTGCAGGAGACCCTACCAGATGTGGCTGCGGAGTGCACAGAGTTGAGATCCAAGCACGGATTGCCAGGAAGTCGGTCGTCCTGGAAGCAGTGAACCACCAAGCCAAGCGTCAAGTGGCACTGACCGCGGCAACTGGTGGGGCGGTCCGGATCTTAGGAAGGGAAACTTGGCAACCAATGGGTTGGCAGGATGGAAAAGACTTGCGGACCTTGCGTGGTATGAATCCCTTGTTGCCTTCATCTAGATCTGGGCTAGTTGTGCGTATTTATAGACAAAACAACGTGAACCGCATGCAGTGGCACCGTGTCATTGTTTGCATCTGGGCCGAAACTGTGTCGCGTTTGTTTTGCTGTGCACTCTTGCTGGCGTTTAATTTAAGCCAGTCGGCTGAACCAGACCGTGTATATAAAATCCGTAGAACAGTAGAAAAGCCATATACAATAATATATATGTATACAATATGTATATAGAAAAATATATATCTATTCATTGATGTCACTTGGTTTGGTGAGCCCCTTTTTGGACTTGCGCAAGCCTCCACTTGAGGCATTGCTGATTGGTGGAGAGACCACGCATGCGTGGGCAGGATTGGGGCAGGTGCCCGTTAGTTTGTGGTGTGGCTGCTTTGTTCAGAGTTTGGTCGACTAAATTGTCATGCACTGTATACACATGCTTTAACATGGCATCATGGCCCTGCATATGATGCGTTTTTATATGTCGTTCAATTCCCCAAATGCCAACATCATCCATCCTTCATTTGAAACCAACATACACACGCGTGTCCATGGTGTTTGGTCGAAACATGTTGCTTAAGGTGAGAGGAATCATGACAGCAAAACGTTCAAAGTCTGAGGGACTTTCGACCAGACCACACAAAATCGTGCACGTTTCAACTCCGAAATGCAAGCCGGAGTGGACACCAAGTCTGTCAACTCTGCATGAACAGATGACAATCCACAATCTAGAAGCAATGCGAGGAAACACACCCATGCAGCGAAGCCGGTGGTCGCTAGGTTGTGGCCCTATAACAATAAAGATCAATAAAGGATAAATTCCAGGAAGAAAGTCTATCAACAGCGCCCTTGAGTCACTTGAGCACGTTCTTTTGTTCGGTTTGGAGGTCCAGGTACTACAGTTCTTGGGCCCTCAGACATGTGTTCAGCAGGCCACAGGCTCTGCGGAGGAGCTGGTGCAGCGAGTGCGCTCGGCCCGGAGAGCCCAGAAGTGACGGACCGGGACACCGTCAGCACCCTTGCGAAAGGTTGAGAGTCGTTGTTGGAAACCAGTCATGCATTTCTGAGATGGTGAGGCCCCAATGCGAATTCCAAGCAATGTTTCAGGGCCTATGGTTTGTGATTGCAACTTTGGACTTCAGAATGTAAAGGAAACAATGTGCTGTCTTAAAAGCATAACATTTGCCGAATTGGCGCGAGGGAGGATCCCAGAGTTGTTGGCCATTTGGATGCCATTTGGACCTCCCGGTCGCGGGTGGACATGGGCTATCGCTTCTTGAGAGACGAGTAGTTCAGACGTTTTGCCAGGAATTGCAGATTCCCAGGGTTCGCCCGAAACTTCTGGTTTTTTCTGAATCAGTCACCGCAGTCACCGTCTCTCCCCCTGGAAGGCGAGGTGTTTGCGCGGTCAGATTGGACGAACATTCCCACACTCCACATGGAATATTTATTTGTCTACAGTGAAGTTTTGGACCCCCAAAGTCAATGTTTTGGATTTGAGCGAACAGACGTGATTTATTCAGAACATGATGTGTGAAAAATCCGGCGGGTCCCTGACCTCGCATGTGTTGAACCGGGCATCGGAGACCCGGCGATGTGAACATCTCGGGCGACGAATTCCTGGCGACTTGAAGACATCGGAAAGAACGAGACATGAGTGTGTAGTACAATAGGCATATCTCTCAAAGACCCCCTGGAAGAAGGAACATGGACCAACACCCATTGGTTTGGGGGTTTGACTCCCTAATTAAGTGGACATTCACACTCACATGAGACTTATAACCAGAAGCTACTAGGTTGGAGGCCATCGCTAATAGGTTGGAGGCCATGACTACTAGTAACAAAGAAGCTACGAACGCAACAAGATTCCAAAGCCTCATTTTTGTCTTACCTTTGGACCAGTGTAAACCCAACTCCGGGGGCGTCCTTGAGCCACGTCAGCGGTCTTGCCACGGTGTGGAGTTCCACAGGATGCTGCTGCCTGCCATCGCTGGACTGGGACCACGTTACTGGTCATCGATGAGGCCGCCCATGGGGGCGTCCTGAGCATTGGAGGATCACTGGGTTACACCATGGTGCACCCACGAACGGGGCAGGCCACTGTTTATTTTTTCGTTTGAGGGGGGCCGGGCAATATACGTTTGGGCGTTGAACCCTGAACCAAAACACATGGTGCATGTTCAAGGATGTTGGCTGCATGGCCATTATGGCAAACCACAATAGTTAACAGTGACACAAAAACCATACCAATTATTATACTATATACTTATTTATATTTAAATTAAGTACGTGTCGAAAACCAGCCAAAAAGCATGCCAAACAGGCCTCTGGCAATTCCTACAGGATCCTGTATATAATATGTTTAATATATATATATATCTTCCTAATAGATATAGACATTTCCCCAGAAACAATGTTCAGGACTGCACCTCACTTTGGCAGTCCATCCACCATTCAGATTATTCAAGCTGGTCCAGAGTCAGCTGAGCGTGCAAAGCCAGAAAGTGAAGATATGCTATGTGTAGAGATGTGTAGAGATGTTGGATGTATATGTCTTTATATGTGACTCCCGTAGGAGCAGCGGCCTACCCTAAACAACTCACCTAAACCTAAAAGGGCCTCGAACCCTCAACCTAAACAAAAAGGGGCCTCCCTTCCCGCGGCCGCGCTCTTTGCCGGCACCGTACGAGTCCTCTCGTCCCTTGAGCCATCGGCGTACCGATGAAGGATCATCTCGAAGGTGGAACTTCTCAGAATTCACACCGATACTATGTTCTTTTTCGAGATGATTTATTCAACAGCTTGCTTTCGAACACCTTCAACCCACCTTTCTCCGAACTTTCTATTTGCGTTTGTTTTCAAAGTGCTGGTTTCATCGAAAATTTGAAATTTGCCGATAGCTAAAACCTTTCTCAAGAAAGTGGTGTCCATGGGCTTGGTTAGGCAATCAGCTAACATGATAGCTGTAGAAATCCATCGACAAACTGCGTTGCCTTCGGCTTTGGTTCGCCATTCCTGGCAATTAGGAACTGCTAAGTTGGTCACTAGATCGAAAAGTGATTTGCAGTCTGTTACCAGTAGGGCTTTTGGTTGTTCACTCAAAGCCTTTTCCGGCTTTTGCCATTGGAAGTTCGGATCATTCACATAGCTCCATAGGCAACGAACCCATGTCAGTTTATCAAGCGAGCTTGACATGGCATACGCTTCGGCACTCAAAGTTGACCTAACAACTCTGGCAATTTGTTTTGATCCCCACGCTATTGTGTAGAGATGTTGGATGTATATGTATATATATATATATATATATTGACATTATACATATCACTGGAGTTCTTTAGCCAGCCCTCGTGGACGTCCCCTAAACCAGCGCAGGTCTCGATGATCTCAGCGCGCTTGTTGGATATTCTGGACCTTTGTGGTCGCGCTGCACGGGGAACGGTTCAGCGTCCTTTCGGAGGCTTGCAAGTGCTTCTTTGCCGCTTGGTTTGGAGATGTTTGGAGATGCCAGAGTTGGTAGTATTGAGCAGGTCACTTAGTGTGTATTATATAATTGGTGGAGAATGGTGGAGAAGTGTTGGGCTTCTGAAACTCCTTGCAGTATCGTGATGTTCAATCTTCAGCAGTGCCCAATCATGTTATCTCCTGGCTCGAAGGATTTCAGGTCAGTTTATTGGCCCTGCTTGGTATGGTGGGGATCTTTCCCTCAGTTCTTTGCAATAAAATGTCTTTTTTGTTGGGACATTTGTAGGCAGATGTGTTCTTGCCAAGACTTGCTTTCGGCAAGTGGATTCTCCAACCTTCAGATGATAAGAATCAACTAGAATCAGAATCAGAAACTTATCTCTATGGATCATTTTTACCAAGTCTCTTGACACCAAACCATGTGCAATTCCTTGTCTTGTTGACAATTAGTAAATGCAGTATCAGTGTACTATGGCCATTTGCGCGTCATTGTAGATACGTTGCCCACAGAAATGTGCACATGGCCATTTCGCCTCCGAGGCGGAGACTTCCATCAGCTGCCGCCGGTGAGTCGGAAAGAGGGCTGGGCGTTCCAGGCCAAGGCGCGTCTGGCTTCAACGGGGCGCGTCTGGGTTCAACGCCCGGCGGTTTCGTATTTAAAGTGTGTTACAGTTTGTTTGTTTGTGTGTACATGGTATTTGTTCATGGTTCCTGGAGCTGCCATGCTTGCTATAGATGACTATCTCTTTTTGAGATAGATGCAGTAGATCATCAGCCAGAGCTTGTAGGTGGTTTGTTGAAGGACGTGTTGAGCAGTGGTTCGATATGTTCTGAGCAGTGGATCGATTTTGGAAGCAACCTTTGGGAAAGCCCAACGAATGGATATGAGATGATATGAGTGAATTTGGCGGCGGGATGCTTCCAGTTGGTTGGAAGAGTAGGATGACAGCCATAGGAGCTTGAATGGTTTGGATGTCCCCATACACGTGCTATGAAGTGAGTGGAGGGTTCTGATTATGACAACCAAATGACACGAAATCTCGAGAAGACTCCGTCCAAGTGACTGATTGTGAAATGTTCTGAAAGTTAGGCTGGAGATTGTTCGAGGCGCAGCTAAGCTGTGCCCGGCTGTGCCTTTTTACAAACATGTCCGCAGCTGAAGGGGCATTGCTTATTGTTTTTTGTTTGCATCCATGTGACGGGAGCCCCTTAAGTGATTAGTTTTTCTTTGAGACATGTCCATATTGTGTAAATCATGACCACAGATGGGCCATCATCCCATGCCGGTGCTCAATATACCACCCCATAATATACATTTCTAAGTACCCTTTGTATCTCTTGGATCTGGAGTCTCCAAAGAGTCCAATATACAGTGGAAACTGGGACGAGACTTCTAACACCTACCAAGTCAGTGGGTAGTATTTTGGATTTTTGGAATTGATTTCCCCACTAAACAAGAACACATGGAACAAGGTTAAGCTTATTTTTGTTTACATCTCAAGCAGTCAGAAAACACATTCCATGTTTCCAAGGTCTGAAAGTATCTCGGACCAGAGTCATGAGTAATGCTAGATTCCTAATAATAAGGGGTGTCAACCGTAACCTCTCCAATTTGTGTTTTATATACATGTTTTTTTAAGGTTAGCCACAATAATAGTAACCTTTGGAGTTCATTTCCGGTCTTTCATGTTCCTTTCACTTGCTTTTGCTTTCATGTTGCTTTCATTCGGCTTTCATGTCGCTTTCATTCTGCTGTCATTCTGCTGCCTGCATGCATTATGTTTTATTTGGTCTCATTCTGCTTTCATTTGCCTACATGTTGCCTTCATTATGCTTTCATGTTACTAGTTGCTTCGATTCTGTTTTCATGTGCGTTCATTATTATGTCATTGTGCTTTCATTCTGCTTTCATGTGGTTTCATGTTACTTTCATTTGCTTTCATTCCGCTTTCATGTGTTTTCATTTGCTTTCATTACAGTATGCGTGCATTTGCTTTCATGTTGGTTTCATTTGCAAGAGAATGTTTAAAAGAGTAACCTAAAGGACAACATTGCAAAGCAAGCCAGGAGCCACAATAGGGAGAGGGCCTATATTTGTGGACCTCCTCCCTATTGTGGATTCTGGATCCTTGGCAGTTGTAAGGGGTAGGTACTCTTTGCAAGCCTGTTGAAGTGAAGCGTTCCTAGAGTTTTTACTGAAAAAAACTATGTCTTATGAAAGTTGACGTTTTTTGGTTGTCCTTTATTTTGCTTCCATGCTGCTTTTAGTTGCTTTCACGTTGGCTTCATTTGCAAGAGAATGTTTAAAAGAGACATGTAAAGGAAAGCATTGCAAAGCAAGCCAGGAGCACAATAGGGACTGTAATTGTGGACCTCCTTCCTATTGTGGAGTAAGGGTTTCTTGCTTTAAGGAGGTGAGGTGGTGACAGGCAGCCATACACATCCTTCATGAGCTGCCAGCACCCGGTATATGTAGCTATCCAGAGGCCAGCTCTTGCAGTCATAGACAACAAACTGTTTGCACCAAGGATTGTTTGGGCTTGAGGGAGAGGATAGCAGCCAAGCCCGCATCAAGCTCTCAATGTGCCGCTTCTTCTGAAGTAGGCTGTTTCCCTGTGAACTGCCAAACTCTTAAAGTCTTAGAGCGTTGCCTTTTCCTTTCTCGATTGGACATCAAAGAAGCAGCTCCAGGACAGCCTCCAGCCTCCAGCATAGTTTCATCCACCTGCACACACATTTTCTTCCTTCCAGGACACTGGGGCGGGGACATTGAGAGGCAAATTGTTGGCAAACAGTTCTTGACCTTTGGCAAGAGCTGAAGAGTGTTGCACGAGAGTCTCCCATCAGAGTGTCCCACAAGAGTATTCTACAAGGGTGTCTCCTACAAGAGTGTCCCGCTAGAGTGTTCCACAAAATGTTTCACAAGAGTGTCCCACAAGGGTGTCTCCTAATTACAAGAGTGTCTCCTGCAAGAGTGTCCCGCAAGGGTGTCCCGCAAGAGTGTGGCATCAGAGTTTTCCACAAGAGTGTCCCGCAAGAGTGTTGCAGGATAGCTTGAGCTTCGCACGAGAGTGCCCATAACAGTTTTCCACAAGTGTGTCTTACAAGAGTGTCCCACAAGAGTGCCCTACAAGAGTGTCCCACAAGAGTGTCGCACGAGAGCTTTTCACAAGAGTGTCAAACAATGGTTGTTTTCGAGTGCGTGTTTGCATTCGGGTTCATGGATTCCATCTTGTTTTAAAGCAAACCCTATGGGTTTGGAAGTTGGGAAATTTTGCCTTTCTTGTTTTGTGTTTTCATGCTGATGCTGGTTTCATTTGCCTACAACTTGCTTTTAGTTGCTTTCACGTTGCGTCCATTTGCTTACATGTTGCTTTCACTTGCAAAAGCATGCTTAAAAGAGACATGTAAAGGAAGACATAAAGCAAGCCAGGGGGCACAATAGGGAGAGGGTCTATAGGCAAAGCCCTTTTGCCCATTGCTGGAGGAGCATGTGACTCCCTGAGAGTTTCTGTGAGCATTGACACAGCAGAATCTGCAGTGATTAGTTGTGTTTAAAGTTGTTTCATGGTTGGAAACACGTTTTATGTATTTTGATATTGGCTATCATTATGTCTCCCAAACCCAGAATTTTGGGCGCAACGTAAATCACATTTGATCCGGATATTCTGAAAGCTTTGAATTTTGTAATCACGGATTACCTCCCTATTACGAATTAAACATTAGCCCTGGAGGTGTGGGCGGAGGCCATCAGCATCTCCTTGGAGCTCACGGAGGCGCAGCAGTGCGATTGATGAAGGGAGAGAAGAAGGGAAAAAAAGAAAACACATTTAATCATTAAAAAATCAAGAGCAAGATGAATGTGTGGTGTGCGTTTGTTGGCACAAGTGACTGATTTGGTGAATCCAGTTCCAACAGAACAGGGGCCAAAAAAGATGTATAGGCAGAAAGAAGGCATTCCATACATACAGGAATCCAACATACAGCTGAATTGGAATCCAACTAGGGCAATGAATCTGTATACCATGGAATCTACGCAGACAGGTCTTCTCACAGTTTGCAGAATGAATTGAAATTGATATGTATTGGACCTATATACTCGCCATACCATGGAATCTACGCAGACAGGTCTTCTCACAGTTTGCAGAATGAATATTTTGATATGTATTGGACCTATATACTCGCCACTTTCGCCTTTCCTGCCAGTAGACCACAACAACAAAAATCCCCGACACGTTGGAAACACATCCTTCGCTGCCCCTGCCGAACCGTGCCGGACCCGTCTCTTAAGGTGCTTCGAACCGATCCTGAGGAGCAGCAGCTCGCGCTGGCCTTGGAGGAGGCGCGTGGAGGTTTGGTGTTGGATCAGATCATCTTCCGGAGTGGATGTTTTTCTTTTTTCCCGAAATGAAGAAGTGACACGACCAGAGAATGAAGAGCCTGATGTTTAAGGAGCATTCTGACATGTGGTGTGAATGACATTCCAACCATGCGGGGAAAAAGAACCTTCAACCAAGAGTTCTGAATCTGGACTGGGAGACCGTTGGGTTTGCTTCAAAGTGGGAAGTTTGCAAGATGAGATGAACACATTTGATCACCAACATGTGTTGCTGATGTGCAAACCAGCCTTGTTACAAGTTGGGACTAGCGGCTAGGGTTTGAGACATTCGTGACGTCCAGGTGAGGAAGGGCCAAGTTGGGCAAAGCTCCTGGCAGTTCTTGGAGTCTTTGGCATCCAAACCCAGGTGCCTTGTGTCGGGATTGGAGGCATTTTGGTGCGGGTTTGACTGAAAGGGTCAGAGCATTGTTTGACGAATCACTCGTACAAAGAAAGATTTGATGTGCACAGAATCGAATGAGACATGTTTTTAGACATTGTTCGAGGGTCTTGAGTGTTTGTTGAGTCTCCAGTCTCCCTCTATCGGAGCAGTTTATCCGAGCGACCTGTTGGAAGTTCTTCCAAATCAAATGTTCAGGTTCCAAATGTTCGATAACGTGAGCCATTCAAATTCAGCCAAGTTTGCAAACAAAATCAGCCGAGTATTCGAGACGAGTGCGGTGTCGGGCAAGGTGCGATTTTTCGTCGTGGTCACGGTCACTTCCACAAGTCACATGGTGAAGAGGGCAGCTTCATGATCCACTGGAGTGGTGCAGCACTGATGCATGTCAAAGTGAAGGTTCCTTCTGGACAATTTGGAGTTGTGTTTTGTCAACCTTTTGCAAACAGTAGGGAAACATAGGGGAACATGGACCGATCACAGCAGGGATTCCTGAGAACATCACCAGCGAAACTGATGGGCTCCATGGATCTTTAAAGAGGTCAAATCGGAGGTCTTGGACCACATGCTTTCCTGGTCCATCCCATGTGGTCTGGTACTTCTCGGCTTACCTACCCACCAAGGACCAACGGATCCCAGATATGGATTGGTTCAAACCAATCTTCTTCGCGCTCTGTCTTGATTGCCATTGGACTTCCATCGGTCCCCTTGTCAATCCAATCCCCCGTCTCACGCCGTAAGGGTCACACCGCTGTGGGGAGACCGGCTCGGCCGCGTCCGGAGGCCGCGAGACCGTTGCCCTGTGGTGGTGGTGCCCACCAATCGCCAGGCATACGGGATCGGGATGGATGGAGAGCGTCTGAAGTGAGGTGCTAAAGGAGTCATGGAATAAAGGGGATGTATAGAGATCACTAATCAATTGTATACTTTTGGGCAATGGCCATGACAATCGGTATGCTATGGTGTGCTCACAGTCTCTTAATGTTATGTGTTACTCTGTTTACTTATCATACCTTCATTTTTCGGGATGTCGATGCAGTCTTCACTGAAACTGTTTTTGGTTTTAAGGAACATGACGAACCTAGTTAATTAAATACTTAGCTTGTGCAGAGAGGTATGCAATGGGAAGCAGCAGCGGCTCCCTGCATGCCGGAAAACAAGACTTGTATTGAAATTGAAGAATTGTATTGTGAAAACAGAGTGTGCGTCAAGGCTACGCACCAAGGTATGGTTGGTGAATATGTCCAGTGGACTCGTGGACTATCCTATGCATATTCATGGGGCGTACATGTCAGGAGGGACGCTTTTTTCGTGCAAACACACATGGCTGCATTCCATGTTACATCAGCCACAGTACTTGTTAGATCTGAAAGTTTTGTTCTGGGTTCCTCAGTGTTCGTGGTAGGCATCTAGAATCTAGAATTTGCCAAGGATTATGATATCCAAATCCAGAACGATTTCTCTTTTGAGGGTCCTGAGTCCTGAGTTTGGAGGCCTTGTGTTTATGACCCCTTGAGAGGGGATGTGACCGTCGGGAGACATTCCGTCGGAAGTTGGGAACGTGGCGCACAACACCTCCACTGCGTGAATTCATGTAGTCAACGCAACAGAAGCGTCAACTTTGATCGAACCAATGATTGCGCTGGTGCTTTGCATCCATCAAAGAATCGAACCAAAACACGAAACACCGAGGTTGCACAAAGACATACTGTATCCAATCTGTTTTAATCCACTCGCTATGTTTTGTTTGGCGCCGGACCAAGGCAGATCAGATCAACGAGGCAGCCTTGAAAGCCTTGAGCGCTCAGGCATACATGAACCGTGCTTGATGTGTTAGAAAGCAAGATAACCCCCCAGCCAATAGTAAGTCATGTCTGTCGTCCGTTCATTTGGTGGTTTTCCCACAATATGTCCATTTCCCTGAGCAGTTAATACACGCGCGGAACTCATCCAACCTGCGTGTAAAGGGGTCATCCTCTCCTACATAGAAAGGAACGTATACTGTTGGTACTCTTCTAAGCGACATAGGTAGTCTAGCTAATTTAACGCAAGTGTCAAGCACTATCCTCATCAAAGGAAGTTTAGTGTACGAAACTTCCGTGTTACGGACATTCAAGAACTGTTCATACAGCACTCATCCTACACCACTCATCAATACACCACTCATCATACACCACTCATCATACTGATCATACACCACTCATCATACTGATCATACACCACTCATCATACACCACTCATCATACACCACTCATTAGACACCACTCATCATACACCACTCATCATACACCACTAATCATACACCACTCATTAGACACCACTCATCATACACCATTCATCATACACTAGACCTCCATGTGCAGATTTCGTGGCAGGGGCAGCACTTTGTGAACCTCCATGTGCAGATTTCCTGGAAGGCGCAGCACTTTGTGAACCTCCATGTGCAGATTTCGTGGCAGGCACAGCACTTTGTGAACCTCCATGTGCAGATTTCGTGGCAGGTGCAGCACTTTGTGAACCTCCATGTGCAGATTTCGTGGCAGGCACAGCACTTTGTGAGCCGCCATGTGCAGAATTCGTGGCAGGCACAGCACTGTGTGAACCTCCATGCGCAGATTTCGTGGCAGGCAGAGCACTGTGTGAACCTCCATGTGCAGATTGCGTGGCAGGCGCAGTACTTCGTGAACCTGCATGTGCAGAGTTCGTGGCAGGCGCAGCACTTTGTGAACCTCCATGCTGCTCCGAACCTCGACGGGTAAGCTCTGCGGAACGACGGTTGCGAGACGGTCTCGGATCATGCTCGGATCATTCTCGGAATCGTCCCTCCATTGTGATTAGAGTTTTCATTTGTTTCTTGAAGTGCAGATTTCGTGGCAGGCACAGCACTTTGTGAACCTCCATGTGCAGAATTCGTGGCAGGCGCAGCACTGTGTGAACCTCCATGTGCAGATTGCGTGGCAGGCGCAGTACTTCGTGAACCTCCATGTGCAGAGTTCGTGGCAGGCACAGCACTTTGTGAACCTCCATGCTGCTCCGAACCTCGACGGGGAAGCTCTGCGGAACGACGGTTGCGAGACGGTCTCGGGTCATGTCGGATCATGCTCGGATCATTCTCGGAATCGTCCCTCCATTGTGATTAGAGTTTTCATTTGTTTCTTGAAGTGCAGATTTCGTGGCAGGCACAGCACTTTGTGAACCTCCATGTGCAGATTTCGTGGCAGGCACAGCACTTTGTGAACCTCCATGTGCAGATTTCGTGGCAGGCGCAGCACTTTGTGAACCTCCATGTGCAGATTTCGTGGCAAGCACAGCACTTTGTGGACCTCGATGTGCAGATTTCGTGGCAGTCACAGCACTTTGTGAACCTCCATGTGCAGATTTTGTGGCAGGCGCAGCACTTTGTGAACCTCCATGCGCAGATTTCGTGGCAGGTGCAGCACTTTGTGAACCTCCATGTGTAGAGTTCGTGGCAGGCACAGCGCTTTGTGAACCTCCATGCGCAGATTTCGTGGCAGGCACAGCACTGTGAACCTCCATGCGCAGATTTCGTGGCAGGAACAGCACTGCGTGTACCTCGAGGTGCAGATTTCGTGGCAGCACAGCACTTTGTGAACCTCCATGTGCAGAGTTCGTGGCAGGCGCAGCACTTTGTGAACCTCCATGTGCCGATTTTGTGGTACGCACAGCACTTTGTGAACTTCCATGTGCAGATTTCGTGGCAGGCACAGCACTTTGTGAACCTCCATGTGCAGATTTTGTGGCAGGTGCAGCACTTTGTGAACCTCCATACGCAGATTTCGTGGCAGGTGCAGCACTTTGTGAACCTCCATGTGCAGATTTCTTGGCAGCACAGCACTTTGTGAACCTCCATGTGCAGATTTCGTGGCAGGCGCAGCACTTTGTGAACCTCCATGTGCAGATTTTGTGGCAGGCACAGCACTTTGTGAACCTCGAGCAGATTTCGTGGCAGGCACAGCATCTGTGGAGCTGGAAGCTGAGAACTGGCGACTTTGTAATACAACTCTAGTACACGGAGCAATCTGTGGAGCTGGAAGCTGAGAAATGGCGACTTTGTAGTGCAACTTTAGTACGCGGAGCATCTGGCGAGCTGGAAGATGAGAACTGGCGACTTTCTAGCACAACTTTAGTACGCGGAGGAATCTGTGGAGCTGGAAGCTGAGAACTGGTGACTTGGAAGTACAACTTTAGTAGGCGGAGTAGGCTGGGGAGCTGGAGGCTGAGAACTGGCGACTTTCTAGTACAACTTTAGTACGCTGGAAGATGAGAACCGGCGACTTTCTAGTACAACTTTAGTACGCGGAGCAATCTGTGGAGCTGGAAGCTGAGAATTGGTGACTTTGTAGTACAACTTTTGTGCGCGGAGTATCTGGGGAGCTGGAAGATGAGAACTGGCGACTTTCTAGTACAACTTTAGTGCGCGGAGTATCTGGGGAGCTGGAAGATGAGCACTGGCGACTTTCTAGTACTGGAAGATGAGAACTGGCAACTAGTACAACTTTAGTACGCGGAGCAAGCTGGGGAGCTGGAAGCTGAGAACTGGTGACTTTGTACTACAACTTTAGTACGCGGAGTATCTGGGGAGCTGGAAGATGAGAACTGGCGACTTTGTAGTACAACTTTAGTACGCGGGGCAAACTGTGGAGCTGGAAGCTGAGAACTGGCGACGTTGTACTACAACTTTAGTACGCGGAGTATCTGGGGAGCTGGAAGATGTGAACTGGCGACTTTGTAGTGCAACTTTAGTACGCGGAGTAGCTGGGGAGCTGGAAGATGAGAACTGGCGACTTTGTAGTACAACTTTTGCAAAATGCATGAACAACGTTTTTTTCCTGCGAGACAGTTGACGGTGGTTGCTTCGCTTTCGCTCCATTGGTCGGTTCCAACTTGTTTTGTCAAAGAACATCGCAGCTCGGCGAATCAGCCTGCCACATGCCCATTTCCTATAGGTTTATTCTTTTGGAAAGTTCCGCCGCCGGCTTGCCCGGGAACTACTTGTATATTAGGAGCGTTGATTGTGTTGTACATATATATATATATAATCTCAATATCTTTATATATATATAGATATATTTGTGCAGAAATTGCAGGACAAGCTGTCGTTGGCTGCATCATCACGTGTTGCAAATCATCTCCGGCAGAACTCACTCAAAGTTGCTGTGGTTGGAAATCACAGCCTTGCTTTTGTAGTCGTAGTTTTGGTCCAAGGGATGTGGGCCAGTATTGCTTGGATCCTGTTCCTCATACCCACGCTACTGGACGCTTTGCGGGTGCAAGCCAAGCCGACGAATACTGCATGTTCATGAAGCTAGTTGAGAGCTGCTTACGGCCGCATCAGTTTGGAGTGTCATCTACAGACTGCAGGTGCAGGTGTGAAACCGTCAGCTCTGTGAGCATTGCATCACAGGCAACAAGACATCAACTGGTAGGCAACCTGACTAGTATGATCTAGTACGTTAATAAATTGGACTTGAGACATCAACCGGACTGGTAGGCAAATAGTCATTTCTATATGTGACATCGCCCGTGCCAATATAAAATCACTTCAGGGGACCCGTCACCTACCTTTTCAGCATTGCCACTGTCCGCGTGGACGTCCTGCGTTACAGCCGGCGGTCAGGCGGAGGTCCACTGCTACTCAGCGGTGTGCATGGGCCAGCGGACGAGGATGGAGGTGAGAGGAGGGACAGGAGTGATCAGCAAAAAGCAAGAGGGACTTGGTTTCAGAGGTGCCTACCAGATGGACAAACCCCAGCTGAGGTGGAAGAGCACCTCATTTGAGCACCGCAAGAAACCATCAAGATCCATCAAGGAGGGGGACACATGTTGACATTTACTCAAGTCAACTGTGGGGTTGACCTCGAGCCAATTGAATCCCCATCTTTGCAGCTGCGGATCCGACCAGGTGCCTCAAGAACTTTGCCTTTGCCAGGGCGCTGTAGTGGTGCTCACCGCAAGCATCAGGCAAGATTGAGTGTGAAGATGGAGTGAACGCGCTTTCAGAGGGCGCCGCCGACCTGTTCCAATAAAAGATGGAAATTGAACATGTTGTTTGGGTTTCGGTCGGTTCGCAATGGTTGGTGGTTTATTGGGATTTTGTCTACCTAGATGAAGGTTCTTTATGGGGGTTATTTTGGTATATAGGCGTGGCCTACACGTGTTTGACCTTTAGCTCACCGGAGGCATCCGGAGGCTGTCCGCTTGACCACCCGTTTATGTCGCGTCGTTTCTCGCACGTCACGCACGTCCCCTCGTCTCCCAGGGTGGGTCCTCAAGGTGACGTGAAGTGGGCCAACGGGCTTCGTTGCTCGGACGAGAGCGGACGGAGCGCGACGGGCGAACTGCGAACCAAACTGCCGAACTGCAATTCGCAAGCCAAGGGCAGCGCCCCACGCAAAAGCTTCAGCATTTGAAGTCCAAAATCTGGTCTGAAAGAACTGAGTGCCGTGGCCAATGGGTGGGTTTGTTGGCTTACTTTGGTAGACCTGGTAGACCCATGCTCATGCACCGGCCCTGTTTTAAATGTATGTATAGATAGATGCTTTTCTTAGCTTGAGATCAGCAAAGGATGCCCTCCCTCTCTCATGTTGTAGATGTGGTGCCATATGTTTCAATTGTTGGAACTGAATGTTCGGATGTGGCCGTACGAAGGCTTTAGCATATTTAAGCACAATTGTGCTCAACTTCATGAAGTGAACAGACTCTCAAGGTGACCGGCAGTTATGGGTGTGAACAGCCCAGATTCTGTCCAGGCGAAATACTGAAAACAGAGTACAACAGGAATTCCTCAAAGCACCTCGGAGTCAACACCATCATGTGCACCACCGCCACCAGGTCGTGGTCGTCGCGTGCCTGCGTGACGCTGCGTGTTTCCGCCAAGGTTGCTGTGTCACAGGCTTCGTGGAACTGCCAGGACCTGAGCAGCAGGATGGGGATCCAACATGTTTGGAGATCATTGCAGCTCACCCTGACTGCATCCTGACCCAAAACTTAGCAGTTGAAGAACAGGACCAAATGCAGGGGGCTTTCTTTTCATGCTTGGTTTCTTGCGTCAAAAGGGCTTTGGGAATTGAAGGGCACTGTTGGGGTTACTGATACAGAATTGAACACCAGTCCAACATAGTCCAACTGCTTGGGATGATTGGTTGGAAACACCAGGGCTTGAAGCATCGCCACGTGTCAAACATACCGTGGAAGCCGCGCTACTTGTAAGGACTCATCATCAAAGACAAAGGCTGCATGCATCAGTGTTTATTGCTTTCATGTTTGTGGGGATTAATCAATCCAAGCTCTTAAGCAACATGTGCCAATACATGTGATTCTTAAATGATGTATACTTTCTTCTCAGAGCCATTGAGGGACGACTTCAGGTCTTCAAGAATCATTTCTGGTACAACAAAACGTTCCTATTTCTTGCTGGGAGGCATACATGCTTAGCCTTATTGCTGATCTGCCCTACACCCCCACTGCCTGCGCTGCCTGGCCGAGGCCACGGCGGGTCCAGACCTCAGCGTGCAGCTCGGGACCCGTCCCGACGCGTCCCGACGCGTCAGGTCTTCGACCACCGGCATCCTGACTTCGATCCGGTCAGCCGCAGCCTGCGTCAGTTCCTGCTGCGACACGAGGGAAAGTTGCCAAAGCTTCAGGCGATGGGTCGAATGTTTTTGGCGAGGGTGGTTTGGCGTGGCGGGTAGTAAAGGCCCCAGGACGGGAGGGGGTTGTGGAGGATTCTTTTCAGAGAATGTACAGACATGTACAGACATTGCAAAGTTCAAAGTTCAAAGAAAGGTAGGTCACAGGCTAGTGTTCAACCGGAAAAGGAACAGATGGAACTAGAGCCGCTGGTGTTATGGTAGCAAATTATGTTCTTCTTGTCCCCCACTTGAGGGGTGTAGCTGATAACTCATCAGGTGTTAGATTTGAAGACTTATGTGACCCCACATTTGTGGGCCTATACGATACATTATAGTACAAGCTTATTGCACATGTAAAAACATATATTTATACATTTATACACATGTGATTAAATGTTCCATTTAATTATCCCAAGTGGCCATTCAACCGAGTTGTTGTGCTGGTACCCTTCAGAACAGGATGAATATGTATGTGCGTACGCTACAATACACAACCCTGCTCAACTCCTCCGTTTAGCTCCCAACCGGATCGTGATGTACATCCGTTTGGATACCCATCCCCATCAATTAGCCAACATGCTTCCGTCAGCTGTGTTGGCAAAGGCTTTGCAAGACACTGATGTTGGAGAGCAGGTCCTCTATCCTGCCACTTGTTTTGAAATTGTGAACTGTTGGGTGGGCCAGGATTGTAATCAGAATCATGGCAAGCTCCTTTGGTATTTACAGGTTGCTTCTATATTGTTTTCTGGTGCAGAATTTGGGAAACGGAGCTCATCATAGCTATGTCAGGCAATCACTCCCAAAATGCTACGCATGCCGCACTTGGTGTTTGCGTTTTCACTCACATGGTGCGACCAAAAACTGGAGGGCTTTGTCGCCAGATCACGAGGTAGGAAGCATACTCACAAAGACAGAATGGCATGCTACACCGCGTGGTAAATCTTGATTAGCTGTTTACCCCTTCACTCTATCGTCATGGGCGATATGGGGAGACTACTTCAGGAAGACTGTTAAAAAAAAAAAAACAGGTTTAAGAATTAATAAGTCCATTTTGCGTGGCCAGTGTGGGACGGCCAATTATCAACCTAATTTATAGCCATTAAACAGCTTTAGAGGGAGGAAATTCGACCATGTGAGGCGACATAAGCGTTTTGCAGGATTCTATGGGGAAAGGGTTCTCAACTTGGAACCTTCAAGAAGAAAAAATAGTGTCCTAGTGGTGTAGTGTCCAACATACAAGAAGAGACAACACTGTTCGGCAGTGGGGTGCACTTGAACCTTTCAAGCCCTGTTTCAAACCTCAAACAGTTCAACTGTTGGGGTGTCAATCCTTGAAGCTTTCAAGACGTAAAGAGAAAGGTGTCTCCGAGTCGGGAGACGACGCATCCTTTTCTGACTCACGTATGACCACGCCTTGGAAGACCACTGTCCTTTACGCAAACGGAGGCCTTCCAATTCCATGTCACTGAGTCCGAGTGTTGTCCAATGTGTCCAAATGACTCGGAGGCACCAAAAAATGCAGTGCTCAGTGCGGTAGATTGAACGCCTCCAATGGAAAGACGGAAAGACCTCCATTATCATTGTGTACAGATGGAAAGATCTTTGTTACTAGTAGCTTGTTGTTACTAGTAGCGATGCCAGGAGCTACTAGTAGCGTCCTTGCTCCTAGTTGCGATGCCCTTTGTTACGTTCACAGCGTCTTGTTCCCACCCATCTGGCTGCACAGCCCCAGATCGGCCATATGCCATATGCGTCCGTCCCGGGTGGGTCCCAGCAGCGAGGTGCACTTCGGAGAGGACACGGGCACTGAGGACGGAGGCGAGGAGGGCACGGTCGGCGTAGGGTGCAGGGGTGAATCGATTGGCCGCTGAGTGAATCGATGGGTCGAAGTCCAGGAAGGTTTGGATCATTTGCTTGAGGTATACCGGTATATGCTAGGGTATACTGTACCTCATGACTCTTGTATGCTCCTGGTTTCGATCACGTAATGTGGTCCTCTTATTTATAAACCCCCCTAGAATAATGACTGTTTTTTTCCTGCACAGATTTATAAAGGCCCCAAGAATAATGTCTTTTTTGAGGGGTAGTTGTAGTGAAATACGTTTTATTGTTATAGTTTACTTTTTCCCGTTTGAGTTTGTAGAATAGTGTCTAGAGATTTCAAGCTTAAAACATATGTTGCTTTAAGTAAACTTGTATTCATTCCCTTTCTTTTCCTTTTGATTTGCTTTACTTACCTAAGCTCTTTAGTCTTTAAGCTTTCCAAAAGTTTCCAAAAGTCAGTGCGCACGTTCTTTACAAAATCCCTTATTCAAAAATATTGAAAAACAACAAAATCATTCAAGCAAAGGGGGTAGTCCAGCAAGCAGCTTTCTGACATTATTTAGGGGGGGCCCTAGAATAATGTCTAGGGATTTCAGGCTTAAAACATATTTTTCTTTAAGTAAACTTGTATTCATTCCCTTTCTTTTCCTTTTGCTTTGCTTTACTTACCTAAGCTCTTGAAAAGTTGAAGATTTCCATTGAGATTGGATGCTTTTCAAGGTCTTTGGATTGAGATTTCCATTAAAATATTGAGAATTCCATTTCCACTTTATTGATTTCCTTTTACTTTAGTATTCCCAATGTCTTCAATTTGAGATTTCATTGATTCCCTTTTATTTTTAATATTGCCAGAGAAGACCAAGAAGATTTTAATAATGATTCTTTTCATTTTGGTCCTTTGATTAGTTTTCTTATACATTATATTGGAGGCCCTGGTTGTTGAGGGGGGGAGTTTATAAATCAAGAGACTACATTAACTAGTCAACGCAGTGCCCCCTGTGAGGTTGGGCCTTTGGAGAAACAACATGGCCCTTGGCCCTTGCGTGTTGAGGTTGCCGTGGCAGCCACTGAATCCGAAGACTGAAAACCTATAGCCAGAACATGCCAGAACGCTCGTTGTTTCCCGGAAGAGTCTGATTCCTGGAATTTGGGATCCACTGGCACTGGGACAGTTTACAGTGAGCCCAAGCAAGCTCCATCGAACAGAGCATTGTGAACCCATCAGGTCGCGACCTGATCATCGTGCAATCCAGATTTGTTCAGATCCATTGTCATGCAAAGCCATTGTGATACCTATATTATTGAATTCTGGACCTGATGAACTTAGAGTGGGCCTTCTTCTGAACTGAACTTCATGATGCCCTTTACTGAACCTCTTCTGAACCCTTGACTTGAGCCTGCAGCCACTTTGCAGTAACGCTGGTGGGTGGATGCCTCAAGACTGCGTGATGATCTGCTCAGAGTGAGCAGCGCTCGCTTCATCACATTCCTTTTTTGGCCAACATGAAAATCCTCCAGTGGTTATCACATGCTATCAGGCTATCAGTATTGCTCCATTTTGCCGTGCCTGCATGGCAGGTTAGCTGGACATCTGATCATCAGTAGTCTCTTGGAGTCTCCCAAATGTATCGAATTTCAAACCTATCCCATTTGCGTGCAGCATGTACCAGCGTGTCGCTGCGGCTGCTTTCCAGGTCTAGTGCAGTTGCCTCTCCGTTTGGGCCGGGGGACCTCTGAGGGATCGAAAGGGGACCCGGTCGTCTGAAGAAAAAGGGGCGCAGGGCGAGGGAGATCCAGATGAGATCCACATCAAACGCCACACCCCACATATGTTTTTTGGGACACATGATTGAATGCACAGCGTGCTGGTACTGAGTTCTCTTAAACCATGATCTGAAGGATTCGGATTCATTGTAAAAAGTGATATTCCGTGTCCGTCTTCCCAGTTTTCCGTCCGGAAAGTAGAATATCCTGAAAGTGACCAGTGGAAGACTATGGCTATGGGTATATATATATTTCTCCACAATCCAATGCCGAGTCTGAGAGTTCATGCGAGTTTGTGTGTTTGTATCGTGCCAAGGAGAATAGGGGAACAAAGGCAGGCACACCCGTTGCACCCAGGCAAACAAAGCGGATTGCATATTCAACTGGACATGGGCCATTGAAATAGCTGAGGAAGGCGATAGGATAGAATGTTTGAGATAGCATGGGCTTAGGCAATCCAGGTCCTGTTCCAAACCTCCCTAGAAATAGGAAAGTTTAGCCCACCAAGCTGAACAACTCCTGCTGTCATGGAAGATTGTTGATGATGCCCAAGACATCCTCCCCAGAAGTACAGCCCTTTAATGGTGTGGGATGTTTTGAATCGATGTTCAATTACAACAAGATACACCACCCCCTTGTAAAGTAACAGTAGCATAATAAGTATAAGTAGCCTCATGAACAGATGATATACAGATGGTTTGGACCGGGACGGACCAATTCACAGATGGTCCGATCCTCCCGTGTCTTCTCGGACAAACGCCGGGTGCCTCGGGCGCCTCCCAAGGTTGGGCCTTGACCGCTCATCGCGCGCAGGGCGCCTCGCTGGAGACCGGTGCTGTGGCCATGCTGCGGGGGCTCTTCTCGCCCGGGCAGGTGACGCGGCGGAGGGGCGCGGCGGCGGGCTCTGGGGCCCAAATCCGGGCCGCGAAGTGCGGGGAGAGTTGTAGGACGGAAGTGGCTGTGGACCGGGGATCCAGGTTTTGACCCATCCAAAGTTAGGGGGATTTGAAGTCACCCCTCCAAAAAAAGGATAAGACACTTGGTTTTTTGAAAGGAAGGCGGTGGCTCAGGCATACATGGTTTGTCTTGAGTGACCAACTATGCCTTCAGACATGACCAATTTGGGATATGTTGGGATTTGTTTTGGGATGTTTAGCCCATCACATGTCCACATCACGTGTTTAGTCCGCTTGGTGTTGTTCATGTTGATCAACGAGTTTGGGCACTTGGAAGTCTTGAGCAAACTGACCTGTTACCCCACATGCTTTCGGATTGAAACACAAAGGAATTGACACGCGGAGCTGGAGCTGATCGTTGATACTCATTGAGGATCCTTAATCAACTCGTTTTGTTCCTTGTTACGTGTTCGACTCATCGCGACCTCTTATTGTACAACGAGATGAATGGAGCGATCGTCAATGGAGCGATCGGATGGTCCAATGATCCCGCTGGGGTTGTCGTTTCATGTGATGTGAGGCCAATTACTGTAGATTGACCGGTCGATGACCGGTCGGTATTTTCAGCATATTCCCTGTAGCAGGTGGTGGTTTTCCAACTTGAGCACAGTCACACAGTTTTATGCAACAAACATAAATTGCAGAAGTCAGGATGTACACGTTCCAGACTGGGTAGGGATATTGCGACTATATATCGTATATATACTATACATATACTAGACTATAAATATATATATATGTATGTGTTTCTTTTTTAAGCAATGTAATATTGTGTGTATATATATATATATGCCAATGAACCAAACAGACCACTCAAACAACCCTTGGTCGTGTGCCAACGGTGCCAAGGACCCAGTAAACCGTGCCACCAAGTCGTGCGGTGCCGGACCCACGACCGACGCACCGCCAGGCCTACGTCACCCTGTCACGGTGCCGGCGTGCGAAAGACCTGTGGATCGAAGGCCGCGGGGCATCGGTGACACTGACTTGTGCCGTGGTACGGACCTAAGGGAATGGAGAAGAGACTTTGGTATCTCTGGTATTTGTGGGGGCTGACCCGCCAAACATCGATTCGTTCAAAGGCTTCGCCGGCTTCGGCAAGTGGGGGGTCGTAGCGAACTGAAGATGGTCCGTGAGTCCGTGAGGTAATCATTGGTGTGGCGGCCAGTGGTTGCGGTAGCGAACGGTTGAGGGAGAAGTCATAGCTGGGGCCTTTCAATACTGATACTATATTTGGTACTATCTTAAATATATTAATATATTATATAGTAACATAGTAGTATAGTTTTCTGGGATGGACAGAGACTATCAACAGTTATCCTGGACCAAGAATATATCCTTCATAACAAGCTATAGTCGCCTACAAGCATAGCTATACTGTAGTTGCATGTATACGTTGTTCAATTCCTCGCCCTGTGATTCGCCTATAGGTGTTGGATTTCCTATCATTGAAAACATCCCGTCGCCAGCATTGGACATACACCAGCCGGCAGTCGGCAGTGATGGTGTTTGCTAGAGGACTCAGACCTACAGAGTGAATGCTCTGGGATGACTGAAATCTGGAAACACCGTTGGCAATATTATTTTGCTTTTAGCATACATGGAGATTTTCAGGTGGGTAAGATGGCGTATGGTGGGGTGTTTATTGCAGTACTCAACATAGGACACATTTTCAGTCCTGCTAGATAGGATCCTGATCCAGGTCCATTCTATGTTGGACTCTCATGCAAAGCTCACAAGCTCTATCATGTTTATGATTCCAAGTGAAGAACCCACTAGAATATATTTGCGCGAGAATGTCCCGGAAACAAGTTAAAACAAATCTCCTATTTCTATGCAAATTGTTTGGAACCTTAACTCATATTGCCATAGCTGTCGTTCAAAAGCAGTCGTCCCGCCTCAGAAAAACGAGCAGTAAAGTGATGCAAAAATCCAACAAGAGATACAGACAATGGTTTCATCATGTTTCATCATTTTGGTTGCGTCTACTTTGCTTTGTTCCTTGCTTTGCGTGTGTTTGTGTGTTTCCCGAGAACGAAGAGGCCTACCTGCCCGCAGCTCCGATGGGCATGTGGCGGCCTTTGCTCCAGAGCCTGAGGCGAGAGAAGCTTTGACTGAGAACATCGTCCGTGGCTCTTGGGGTGGACAGCGAGAGAGATGGGCGCCCGAATGAAGAGGTGTGACGCCCACATGGAGAATTAATTATGATTTGTTCATTTGGGAGGTTTTTTGGGGAATTTGCTCATGGGGGTGTGGTGTTTCGCCTATGAGGTTCGTTGTGGAAGGGAGATGAGTTGATTTGTGCCCAACTATGGACGGTGTTTAGGGTGGTTTGTTTGATTTAAGCTGTGGCCTAAGTTGTTCACTACCATGTAATATACTAGTCGTGCGCAAGGCAATTGTAAAGCAGCATTGTGGGTTGAAGCGACCCCATCCTTGGCCCATTTCCATGTGGCATCGCGCAGGACGAGATCACGATGAATCGTTTCGCGGCTATTTTGGAAAACACTGCTTCAGGATGGTCTCCTTGACCTACTTGTTGTGGTTAGTAACGGTCAGTCTTGAACCAACCAATGAATATCAACCTGGCGCCACGCACAACCTGCCGGACAGCCTTCAGTTCCCCAACGCTCCAGCCTTCAGGTACAGTCCTTTTATGCGGCCATGCGGGCTCCTTCGGGGTGAGGCAGACGCGTTCGCACCCGCGACCGCTCTGACCGCTTTTCGTGAAGAAGGCGACCTTTGGTGAACACAGCGTGTTCGCACCAGGCCAAGCTATGTCAAGCTCATTTCCAGGGCTTTCATCCGAGACATTGATTCAGTACTGGCCATGTAGAGTAGTAACAGGTGCCACGCTACTAGTAACAAGTGCCACGCTAGTAGTAACAGGTGCCTTACTAGTAGAAACAAAAAGCTATTTAGGGAACACAAGTTTTTTACACAAACTGACCCTCAAGGCCTCGACTCAAGGATTTGTGCTTGAGACCAAAAGGGACCAAAAACATGTTGCCCATGCTCACATGCTGCTAAAACTGTGGCAGAAACCTCCAATCAACATTTTAAGAGATGGGTTCTTTCATGTTCTTTTGTTCCATTCTTCAGCCAGAAACAGTTTGGAGGTTTCCAGTGACATTTCCGGCTGTTTGTTCTCATTTCCTGGACCGATCGCACGTTGCAACGATGGTTCTCATACAGTTACATATATATATATATGCGATTGCTTTAGGGGCAGAACTGGCCATGTTGGTATGCTGCATCTTCGGTTAGTTTCTTGGAGGAATTTGCCCCATGACGCTGCAGCATCCATTGCGGGGAGCAATGGTCGACTGGTCCTGGGCCTAGGTGTCAGGTGGGAAACACACATAGATAGAACCCAGGTGGGACGGCACTGAATTATTTACAGTAGAAAGACATCTACAATTCAATTGGAATTCAACACTGTCAGACGCATGGAACTCATTTTTGTTACCTATTATTAGCGTTTTGTTCAACTTTGCTTTTGAAAAGTTTGTGAGTACAATGTGAGGTCATCAATATATATATATATATATTTATCTTTTTTTGGTTGGATACTTTTAATTGCCTGGTTGACCAAGTACTTCTGAGTTTGTTGATCGACTGTCAACCAATGATGTCGTTTTTGCTACAAGTGACAGCATGTTTTGTACACCTTATGAATTATGGCCAGAGGGCACTTTCAACTGATTCGTAGCTTTGTTCATTATTGTTGCACTCACGAGAATCTCCTAGCTTGTTCAGTCGTCAGCCAATTCCGGTCAGATGTCCGTTCATGACGAAACAGCAAGTCAATAGATGTCACCCTGCTTGAACCATGTATTTACTCAGAGTTTGTCGTCAGCCAGTTCCCAACATCCCCAGATTCTTCTTCGGACATTCGACTCAAGCGGGATGTTCAAAGACGTTCGCCAAAAAGCATGTTCATCGGGGGGTGACCGTTTAACCCCCTTCTCCAACCCCTTCTCACCTTCGGCGCTGGAATGGAGCCACGCACCCAGGGAATGGAGCCTGAGTGAGCTAGTCTGAGCCGGGGAACTGCTGGACTCCTTGGGACAGATGGACAAAAAACACCTGGACATTAGCAAGATGTAAGTGAACTGCTTGGGGTCCAAACAGTCTTTTCATGTGTTGTTGTGACTGTTGTGTTGTTTTTTTTGGTCGTCAAACGGATTTTCATGTGTTGTTTTGTTGTCTATTAGTAATTATAGATTATAGATTTGCTTTGGGGGGAAGGAAGCTCAAAGTATGAGTACCGCTTGTACGTACATTTGTTTTTTGATGCAGGGTGGCTTATATAACTTATAAATCAATTTCCGTGAAGCCAGTGGCTGTGGACACGTAAAGAACCACAGCGGCAAGCTACAACAAACGAACAGCCGGAGGTGAAGATGAACGAGCGCGAGCAATGAATGTGTGTGTGTGAGACAAACGTTGGTTGCGCAGACCTGCATATATATATATATTCTTAACCTATATAACCCTGGAGTAGATTCACCATATTCACGTGTTCGAGCCATTTCAGACCAAATCTTATATAAAGCACGCACTGGAAAATCCCTATATGTCATTATATTGTCAGATGTTGAACACAATAAAAAGGTGAACTAGTAGCTTCTTCTTACTAGTAGCAATGGCCTCCAACCTACTAGCTTCTTGCTACTGGTAGTAATGGCCTCCAACCTACTAGCGATGGCCTCCAACCTACTAGCTTCTTGCTACTAGTACATCCTTAAATAGCCAAAAACTGTTTTAATTTGATAGAAAACGGGCTGGAAGCACAGAAACCGTCGCACTCACCTGGCTAAACCTTGCCGACCACGTGCCTTTTCGAAGTGAAACTCTATTCGATTCATGCCGCTTATACGGGTTCATGTTTGTGTTTTGTTGATGAGGGAGTTTATGTTGAAGTCAAGGATGTTATACAGTAGCTTCATATATTAGTTGTAAGAAACCCTCATCCTTGAAGGCCTGAATCCTTAGCGACACCTGACATCTAAAATTGATAATTGGCCATCGAACTTTTGCCGCGTTCGGAGAATCAGGTGTCAGATTTTGGGACTTTCCCCGGCCAGATCAATCAATTGGCTCTCGCCCATGCATGCAGACTTGCAGACTCTCGCAGCATGTGTGCTGATTGATGCGCCAAGACTGGGTGGGAGGGAGGCTCTAAAGAGTTTGATCTCAGCACAGACTAGGAGCAAGAAGCTACTAGTAGCTTCTGGCATTATTACTAGGAACAAGAAGCTACTAGTTACTAGGAACAAAGGGCATCGCTTCTAGGAGCAAGAAGCTACTAGGCTTCATTTCGCCAAGTTTGGCGATTTTCGTGGTGCACGTCTTCCTGGTCCTATCGATCATACTTGCAGTGCAGAGCATGCTTGTCCGAATATATTTGCCACGTAGGGATTGTGTTCACAAATCCAAACATTTGGACTTGCTGGTTGGAATGTGCATTTGCACCAAATAGACAATACATTTACTGTACATGGATGAACAATTGGACCTGACTTTCACAGTTACCAAGTTTGGACAATTCTGAGAACAGTTTTGCTTTTAGAACTGACTGCGGGGAGCTGTTTCGTGGGTCTCTGACCGGGTCAGCGTCTTCACTGCAGGAGCTCATCGACGACGCCCGCGTGCCCATCCTAAGCCCGACGCCCAGCATTGAGCGGAGGAGAGGAAGATGTTGCTTGGCGTCGGGTGCTTGTACACCCAAGGACACTTCGACCGGACCACTTGGATGACTTCGACCGGACCATTTGGACTTGTTCCTTCAAGAACCATGTTCCATCTTGAATGTTGGAGACCAGTGCGTTGACTCAAAACACACAATTTACAGGGTTTTGAACCAAGACTTGAGAGCCAACGCCTGTGGATGTCCAAGCAAAACTGCTCCTCAATCGAGTTTGCCATATCTCATGTTGAAGCATTCTAAGTTTCAGGCGTCCAAAAGGCACGCGTTGTTGATGTAAGATGTTGCATTTTAATTTGGTTGTTTGAAGGGTATTGTTGTTCATCATTTTTCCGTGCATGACGGTGTCACAAATTCTGTCCCCTTTTGGTGTCCAAAAGAGTTTCAGTCCGTCCCCGATTCAAAGAGGTCGTACTTCAGGCGCTTCGCCAGGCGCTTCGCCTGCCGTCCGAGCCGATCCGAAACCGCCCAGGGGTGACCTGTGGCCCACGAGGCCGGAGAGTGGGAAACATGGGAGAGTCGAGGGAAACAGGGACCGCGGTGGAATGCGGTGGGATGAGTCTTAAGGGAGACTGTGATACTCCTCAGGTCACTTGATGCTATGGTGTTGCATCAGATTGTGTTGCCATTTATCTCCGATGTTCAACAGAACATGTCTTCCATGTTTGACAAATGACGCGGGCTACAAGCCAATGCTGTACCGGGGTTGATGAGAATGTGGGAGATCGGATTTTCTGTCGAGAAATCCGAAGAAGAGATTTCCAGCACCACCCCTTCAGTCAAAAGGAGAATAGTCTTAGAGAAGAGGGAGTGTGTGCCCTCCCGCTTCCTTGGTTTTCTCCACCCACCTTTCAATCCATCGAGACAGCCAGGTCCTTCAGCACACGGTGGACCAAACGGACGCCGTTCCCTTCCGTGGACCTTCCGCCGGAACGGAGCGTTCGGTTGCTCTGCGCAGACCACGTCGGAACCTGCACGGTGGATGTCTCTGTGGATCAAATCCGACCCTTGGATCACGTGAGATGGCAGGGGTGCTCAGGTGGCGACCAACATGCGACCTACGATGACCTACGGAACCACATACGCCGACTACAGAACCACATCATGTAGGAGACCAAACAAGTCCATGCATTGACTACCCAGGCCATTCGTCCATTCAACCTGCGTATCATGTGTGTTTTCTTCAGAAGGTGCTGGGTTTTGTGATATTTCTAGGCGAACGTGACTCCCATCCTCAAATTGACCTGGCGACATGACCCTGGGCCATTTAGTGGATTGCTTCGCCTTTCGCACGAAGTTTGTAATGTTTGTATGATGATGTCGTCACATACTCAAAAGGGATCCTAAATGGCAGGGTGGCCCGGTGATCGCCGATGGCATTTTATCCGAACTTATCTGAATTGCAAGTCGCTGGGTCACACACACAGTAACAGGTGGAGGAGGCTATGTGTGGAGTGCTGTTGTTGAGACGATTCCCAATCACGAATTCTGTCATTAAACCAAAACATACCAAAAAATGTATGCCTCTCCAACGCGCAAATCCATGGAAACAGACACATCCCATGCCCAGCGCGGTTGCCGTGAAAACTGTGAACACCATTGACACGCAACCTAAAAACCCACCATCAAATAGAAGCACTCTCCCAAGATTCAGACAAGCTCCTGATCAAACAGTTCCTCATACTAGTGTTTACAGAGACATGAGAAGCACTAGAACATAATAGAACTTCGCTTGCATTCATTTGCATTGCTTCCATTTGCTTTCGCATACATCGTTCGCTTCAGTTGGTATCACCAGCGCCTCTGGATTCCTCCGCGCCTCTGGTTCCGACCAGGTTCCAGCGCGTGGGGGCGGCTCCACGGCCCACCGAGCCGCCACCGCCGGTGGCGCCGCTGGTGACGTTGACCTTGCGCTGTGTGAAGTGGTGCCCCGTTCCGGAGGGACCGGAGGGACAGGGAGAACATGGTGGAGCTGCCGGCCGGCCGTGGCCACCAAGACTGGCCATGACATGTGTGGAAGCAACGTTGTTGGGGCAAGTGGTTCGGGTGGTGTTTGTCAGTGCTGTTGACCAGTCAGGTGCAGTCTTCGGAAGACCGCCAGGGGGTGCATTGATCCCAAGCAACAGTATAAAGTATTTGCGTAAGCATGCATAAGATATAGTAGTACCGAATCTTTCGAAGACTAGTTTTGGGGTTTCGCCTACTAGCTGGTTCAACCTACTACTTTCAAGGTGCACTCGGTGGGTATGGTATGAGTGTATACTATGCTTCTATCATAGCTTCCCATGGAGGATACCAACTTCTTGAGCGGCTAGGGTGAGTCTGACAGAGCCAGTGGACATCCAGGTGATCCAGGCCGATCCAGCTGATCCAGGTCGATGGATCTCCGAAACTACCCCACAGTCACATGGAAAAATCACATGATTCTACATGTTTAAATGCATGTTACAGGATATCGCTGTGGATTGTCCCTTGCTTGGAATTTACAATAAAGCATTCAGGGTCTTCAGCTTTTAGAATGTGTTTCAGTCTAGTCCACATGTGTTTGTATGTCAACGCCGCCCAGTTGAACCACCCAACAACAAGACAATATGCTCAACTCCACCATGTTGGCGGATTGAAAGGGATGGGTATATATAGGCATTCAACCAACGACTTCACCAAAATCACTTCACAACCTGCCGGATCTTCAAACCTTGGCCGTTGGCTGCTGCGCGTGGAGCGCAGACAGGTGGTTGAAGCAGCGACAAATCCCGCGCACCAAGGAAGGCACAGAAGCGGGTTGAGCGTGTCGCACGACACATCCCAGAGGTGCAAAGCAAATCATGCTCGTTGGTCGTCCACCAAAGATGTGTCCCCGACTTGGACTCGAAGATAGACCTAGGCTTTTCATGGGATTCATTAGTATTGTACATATAGGTGCAAACTCATGCGCATTTGTTCAACTTGACGCCATTATGTTTGCACATGGTCTGTAAGATCTGTCAGTTCTTGTTTTTTCCGGTTTGCCGAGATATCGCTGTTGCGGAACTCTTTCCTGACGGTACATGCACCTTGATGCAGCATATCGTCTAGTCGTTTCAACTCAACTGAAGATACTATACGTACAAGTCAAGTTGTTCAATATTTGGTTCATCCTCTCCTGTAAGGTTCCAACAAAGAAAATCCACATGGACGAACCAAAAACGTCGTTTCCTCTCGTCTCGCAGGTGGCTTACCCACGCTGGCCCGGCCGCCGAGGAGTATCGGAGCTGGGCGATGGGAAAACCGTGTGGTCCAACGACGGTCATGTTTTTGGCCGTGACTGTCACGTTTGCATCCTTGGAGATGGATCGAAGTAGTCTCACACGGAGACCTTGGGAGACCAGGTTAAGTGTGTTGTTCGAGACAAAGGTTTAAGGGATTCCTCTACATGTCCTCCTCTAATAGAGTTACTTGGGGGTTCTCCCTACTAGGATGAACCTTTCCTGATGGATCATGGATGCACTAGGATGCCTTGTCAATCCTTTTCACACTGATTGCTGCCCCGAAAATCCCGATGCACCGCACTAGCCTCACTAGCCACAACCAGGTCGTTTTGAAAACGCAACAGTCCCAATAGTCTTTGTTTGTAATGTCGCCAGAAAGACTGTCAGTGTCAAGTGCTCAGAGAAGAAGTACTAAAACCTCATCGACCTAAGACCAGAGTTGTAGGCACGCGGCACCTTGTACTTGAATGGAGTCCTGTGGAAGCTCAGGTTCATCTATAGTGTCATCCTTCTCTTTAGACAACAAGAACTTAATGTTTGCTGACGATCCCCCAAACCACACCAGTGGAAGTCCATGTGTTTGGAGAAATGACGTCTTCCACCTGTCTGAGAGAAAGAAGTAAACAAAAAAAAAACATTCTATTCTATACATGACATAGCGATTGAGTCCAGCGATTGAGTTATTTACGATCTCGAGATTTCTCGAGGGTTCCTTTGCAAACCAGAGGTCGTTTGGGATTCGAAACAGGCCTTTACAGTGGGCTTCCGCGCGTTGAGCGCCGCATTGAGGCCTGGCTGTTGATGGCAGTCCACGTGTGCTCCTTGAAGGAGAACCAACACGAGGTGCCTAGAACTGGTATCGAACTGCTTGTTTTGTTTTGTATTTGTTTGTCCTCCAACCTAATAGCCATAGCAATGGCCTCCCATAGAATTAGCATCGAACTGCTTTGTGCTGCTCATGTTACCAGATGTCCATATGTTTACCATCCCCAACCAGTGTGTCCATGAGGGGCGTCACTTTGTGTCCGCAAGCTCATGTTCCCATATTATCGATATTGTTATATACAATAAGTATGTATATCATATTTCCTACCCAATCAGATAAAGCTGGAAAAGATGGCCCGGGACGACTGCACGATGACTGAGCATATTATATACTCGTTGTTCTTGACACTGTGTATGTTCTTTCAGAATGCTCTCAGGTGAGTTGTTAGATGGAGAGTCACATGTCAAACAATTCTTGGTGAACTCTCTCCAAAGATGTTGCATGTGCGATTCCATGAGTCTGTGTTTTGAATCTATGAGTGGAAAGCACCATGTGGCCATATGTGACCTCCGGTCGAATTGGTATGGACATGTATGGACCCTACGGGTGTTTTTTTGGCTGTTGGCTTGGCCTCTTGGTAACAGAATCTTGGCCCCATTGCATAATTTATTCTTCCGTGTCTTAGTCTTGCCAGGATAGCGACAAGCTGGCAAGTTGGTTTGTGAGATGGAGATCCCACTGACAGAACCCCAAGGAGAGATTGTTCCTGACATTTCATATCCAATCCATGCCCGGCATGTAGCAAGACCATCCAAGATACACGAAACATGGTGAATAGATATCAATGTCCTCTTTAAACAAAATATAGAACACCGCTTTCCTTGACACCTCTCCAAAAACTAAGACTAATTCAAGCTTGGGTTGATTTGAATCGTGTTTGAATATGTTTGAAAGGCTGGAAACCTGAGGCCTCAGTGCCGCGCCCCAGTCAGTGCCACGCCTCAGTGCCGCGCAAGGTCTCTTCGACCCAGCGCCCCATGGCGCCACGCCCAGACGACGAGCCGCGGAAAAAAGCACGCGTGCTTCGCACGTGGCGAAGCACGTGGACTTCGTTCTTTTGGGGTGGATGAACATTCCTTCGGTTTGGGGTGTTTCGGAGTTTTTGTTTTTGTTTCGGATGTGTTGCCAGGGCTCAGAGCACAAACCACATCAGTTCCATGTTCCAGAGCTCGGTGGATGTTCGCACCCCGGGCGCCGAGCTTGGCACCCCCGACAGAGCGAAGACGCACGTTCGTTGGTGCTGGGCCGGACGTGATGGACCAATGGACCAACCAGTTAGCATTATGTGAGATACCACAACTGCCAGCCATGTATGTTTGAGATTAGGTCTGGTATGGTGTGATGCGTTCGGTGTTATTTGTTGCCGAACGGATCGGCACCATGTACAACTCAGAAACTTTGAGTTGGTCTCACATCCCCATTTAAAAAAAAAAACAAACAAACATCATACACTTTCCCTTGTTGAAGAGCCAGAAGTATACCAGCACCGAATGTGAGTTACTGGATGTTCGTGTTGAACCAGAGATGCGGAAAATCGGACCATTTGTAAACTGTAAACTATGTGTTTTCTGCATACCTGTAGACCTTTTTGGAAAACCAACTGATAGAACAACACATACCAATGGTAGACCATTCATGATAGGTGTGAATATCTTTGGATTCTGAAACCTCACTTCCGCTCAGGCCGCGCTCCTCTCTTCCCTGGCAGCATTTTTCGGTGGGACGCCCTGGGCGTTCTTCTGCCAGAACGTTTGATACCCGTAGGCCAACAGTCGGTACCAAGAACGCAAGTTCTTCCAGCTTCCAACAGGCGTATCTTGTGCTTCTGCAGGACACTTGTTGTATGTGTTTTTTGGCGGGGGGCCGGGGGAACTTAAAACAACAACAGCAGCAGCAACAACAACAACAACACCAGCAGCAACAGCACCAGCAGCAACAGCAGCAACAACAATGACAATGGCACCTTTGTAGAGGGGAAATCGCTTTGAGAAGGTGTATTGGTCGAGAGAAAATGTGGAACGACCAGGTGGGTTAATGATGAAGTCTCTGTGCAGGATACCGGATACCTGCTTTTGCTTTCGAACACATCGTGAGGTCACTACCAGTCCTTGGAGTGCTTGGATGGAGCCACTTGACCTCACAGTGACTGTTTTTATTGCCAGAGGTTCCAGGAATTTGTCCGCGGACCATTCCTATGCTGGATGAATACTTTTTCACTAAGAGTAGAACCTTGGCGGGATAGCTTAATTGTTGCTTGAACTGGCAGCTTCAAGCAAACTGTTGGTGTTCATGTATTTGTACCCAAGCACATCATACTTCCATACCCAACTAGCAGCTGTTTGCAAAGTTGAGACTTTCATATATTTACTGTTCAAGTCATTCTTTTGTACCTACTGTATAATAGTAATACCATTATTCCCAACCAGTGTGAAGTCCAGCACAGAGGACATACTGTATATACGTGGTTGTTGCATGGGTTCTATGAAGTCTTTTTGGAGGGGGTACAGTATTTGCTCCAGGTTTCCCGCAGGTTCTTGGCCTCCTTTGGCATTGCACGTACGTAGCGCGAGTGGAGTACTGCTATACGAACCCAAAGCGGCGGTTGACAATACATGTACATGCGTACCAGTATCTTAGTTCTCTCTCTATATATGTATAAATACATACAAGTGTACTTACGTCCTGTGCGCTTATATATATATATGTGTACATATTTAGATACACATGCGTTTGATTTCATAGGGATGCACCAAGTAAGGCTTAAGGGAAGCTTAGATTTGAGTTTTAGATCCAAATGATAGCTCCAGCTCATTTCTTTACGACATTCATGATTCACCAGCCGCCCTGTGCTATCGCTGCAGGTCCTTTGCTTCTCAGCGGATGGGGCTTCCTCCCACTTCAGGCAAGGGGGGATCGCGATTGACCAAGGCACTGCGCACTGCTAAATGAGTGCGTAATTTAGTAGGGGGACCACCAATGGGTTCGGGTCTATTTCCCTTCTTTGCTACAGTTCCTTGGATGGTTTTGCTCATTTCACATCATGTGATTGCTTTTCAGAGCATTGACATGTGCTTCCAAATCATTTGTCGTTCAACAGCCTTTGCTTTCATGTGTTTGGATGTTCTTTTTTAGTCAACCAGCCTCTGAGGGAGCTTGATGTTCTGCTAGTGTCAAACCACGGGAAGGAAGTCACTGGCAGTGACGAGTCACAAGAGTGGCAAGAGTTCGGAGTCACACTCCTTCAGAAAGTTCGGAGATGTTCGGAGATATCACAGGCAACATGATGACCTCGGAAGTACGATACTACCCTGTGGTGTATCAGTTGATCCATGACATAATCCCATGAGCATTTGAGGCGGTGCAGAGGAACTGCTCCATGAACAGTAATTGTGATGGCCCATGTACAAGTTTGATCCATTGAGATGTTGATTTTTCGTTATCGATCAGCAGCACACACGCGCAAACGAACTGTGGGGTTGAAACAGAGTCAAGTTTTTGTCGCCGTCCCGCAGCTCTTTTTTACAGGATCAGTGACTGGGCATGGCACTGTTGAATGAATCATTGGATCTTGGGCAAAAGGAGTGCCACAATGTGCAGATTGACGTGACAGCAGAAATATAGTCTTGTACAGTTATATATATAATCATATATATATATGTATAGTTCTTCCAGTGGCTGACCATGTGCAGATGTAAGAGATACAGGCCAGGGATACACTTTTCAAGAGCTAAAAGCTGGCACTGACCCCTCAAAAGAAAGGCCAATTGGTACCAAGAATTCGGGTCTATGAGAATGTACATGTATATATATATATATATTATATATATATACCGTGTATATATATATATATTTGTTGCGTTTTCTCAGTAGTATACAAGCTTTCAACCAGCCAAGTCACCACAGGTTCTTGACGCTTCAAGCTTTACACGCCACTTTACGGCGCGGACCGGACGGAGACCGCCAGTGCGGCGGCACGTGGGGCACGTGGAGACTGCCAACAACGGCGTGGCGCCAGGCCTTGGAGACAGGCCGCAGCATCCGTGGGGGAGGAAATGACCTGATCCACATCCTCATGAAGGTAGTTAGACCCCTCCAAACCCACCCCAACCACCATCTCAGGAGGTAGTTGGAGCCCTAGGGTCTATAGAAATACGCACCCCTCAAGTTTAGTTTTTCCAATCTCTTTCCCAACAATGAGTTTGGGCAACGCTGAAGAATACTGAGGTCACGTTGGCGTTAGCGACCGTGTTAGTTCCTTTGTTGATTGGTGTCCAAGTGACCACATACATCCAAGTCGCAAAGTCAATTCCGGATACTTTGTAGAAAGAGTGAATGAATGCCTTAGTTAAGCCAAGGTTCATACTTCCAACTGATCAAAGAGTGGATGTCCCCGGAAAAGGTCTCGCACATCGAGTCCTATGTAATAATCTACTCCTACGTTCACTAATGAAACTTTCAGCAAGTGAACCTTCTTCAGGACTCCATGAGAAGCTAAAACGAACCTATGGTCTTCCCAAGTGGCCCAAGTGTTGCTTTGTGTTCCGGGTCATTCACGCAAGCCATTGAGAACATAAATGCTGTTTAAATCTCTTAACGTGAAGGGGTTGCCTGGGGACATTGTGTACCCCTCCTCGAATCACTCACATAGTTTATTTATATTGACTTATGTATAGATATGTATAGTACAGAAGCAGGCACAGAACCACCCACTCACCACAACCCGAAGCAACTTCCCCGAAGCAACATCATGTTGTTGGCACACACAACAAACGTCATCACTTGGCCCCCCCACCGACCCACAACAAACGGCAGCACTAGCATGACAAAACAGGAAGTGTCGGATGAGGGAGCAAAAATAAACACAATGCGCTAAAAACTCACCAACGATAACATACGATAACTACCACACAGTGCCGAAGCAAAAGTTTGTGGTTTCTACCACAAGCAACAAACCAACAAGCTGCCCTGAAGATCTCGGAATGGTTGGGAAGTGTAGATCAAGTCAGTGACAAGCCTTGTTGATTGGCTCTTGGTCATCGACCGACCAACACATCCACTGGTTTGGACCCACGTGCAGCAGCGTGTGTTTAGGGAGATCTCAACTGATCTCCATTGCCTTGCCAGTCTTGAAGCAATTGGAATTCCACGTCACTAATTAAGTGAAAGTGCAATCGAAAGAAGACCTTGGCTTAGGCTTGCGGTATTATATATAATGATTGATGCTTCAATGGCTAGTTTAGCCAAGCAGACCTGTCCTACTTAAGCAGAGCTGTTGGATTTATCAGCAAGATGTCGATTGTGGGTCAAAACAGAACAGAACAATTTGGATTGGTACTGGTAAGGTCGAGTTTGTGAATATCTAATGGATGTTGGGCACGTGTATTTGATTGTATTTGACTACGCAGACCCCGAATTAGGGTACGTAAGTAGGTTTGGCTGGGCTCTCCAAATTTATCCCCTTAGGATTTCCTCTAGGAAATGGGTAGGGTTAACCATGTTATAAGGGGCTATGTTTTAATAGATAATATTTGTCTGACATATTTGCATGAGTTTGGATGGTGTTGATGATGAGTGTGGCAGAGATCAGAAGCAAACCAAACCATTTTCTAGAGCCAGCTTTCAAGGATGAAACGCACTTGGGAGAGACCTTGGGCATATCAATGTCTAAGGGGCAGTGAACAGTCATGGATGCATTGTATAGAGCCTGCTTCTTTTGGCCTTGGACTCAAGCCATTTTCTATGAAATGGTTGTTCACAACCTTAAGTGCAGCATCGACAAAGATGAATGAAGAGCTCTCTAGAAAAATGACAAAATTTCAATTCACCCAAATTCATATATATATATATACACCTAGAACCTGAATGACCCCTGTTTTTGGAGGATCAACTATCCAAAATATGTGTGTTTTTCCTATCAAAAAGTATGTCAAATGGGTTCTAGGTATATAGGCCTTTCTCATCCATTTCTCGATGCAGAGACTCTTGCAGCTAGGCCCTGCAAGCGAAAGAGCGCACGTCGAAGCCCTACGCCGCGAAGCCCTACGTTTTTGGGGTGGACAGGGCCGAGGCCATCTCGAAACACTAAAGTGAGATTGGTGTTCCAACGTGATGGGAGGTTGAAGTTGAATATAGAATCTCAAACCTCTAAGTGTAAGTCGTTCAAGATTCACTTCGGCGTAGACATGCAGAGACTCTTAATGTTTGTTTTTCTCCACCAGTCCCGTATATTTGGAACCTCCTTCTGACTCCTTCTTTCTGCGATTCGGGGCCTTGTGAACACCCTGGCAATGTTTGTCGCGTTCAAGGGGAGTCAGCCGTCAGCTGCATAATCATTTTTTGATCATATACACTCCAACATAGTAGTATTCCCGCCACAATGAAGACTTGTCTACTGGTTTATGTTGTTTTCTCGGATTTGCCATGGAGGTGTATTCTAATTGATGAGAACAACTTCGACATGGAATCACAAACTAAGGGGTCACTAAGGGAGAGAGAAGGACCCAAAAAGAGTTGTATTTGACCCTTGAAGACTGCTTGAAGACCCTTGTTTGTTGGAATTTCCTAAATTCAGCCGTTCTCAGAGTCATGGATCGCGAGTGTTGGAATTTCCAGGGCCTGGGCCAAATGTGAAATCTTTGCAGATGTATACCACAAATACAGCACCTTCCCTGAGGCTAAAATGTCTGGAATACTTACGTATGCATTGACCATCATTGACCTCTGAGCTAAACCAAACGAGTTCGATGCTTTCAGAGTACATGGCACAATTCCCCAAAGGGTATTTAATGGTATCTATATGGACCCCCATCTAAAGGACATCTTGGGGTTTGTGTCTTCTACTCTGAAACCACTGTATATAAAATATGCCAGTCCTATTGGTTGCTTGGGATGTGAGACCTGTCGATTGATGTGCCACATCCGGAGCTCGTGTCGGTGCCTATGAGGTACATGTCGCAGTGCTTGGCGTGCGACCTTCTATCTGCTGCCGAACGATGCACCCCCAGTGTCTCGGTAGACATGGTTGAATAGAGTATGGAGGGGTCAGGAGTGCCTAATTGGAGATCCCCCAGCGAGCAACAGTCCAAAGAGGAATCACCATGATTTTAATGTATAGACAAGGCCTCCTAACAAGCCTCACTATCGACTTGAGTTTGTTGATCCGTCCGTGGGTGTTAGGTTCGGACATGTTGGGACCTGAACTGTCGGGAAGCTTCGTTGAGATTCAGGTGGCTTTTGAGTAGGGGGTCAAAATATGTCAAACCAATCAGCATCAATCAATGAATCAAGATGACAAGATTCCGAGGAGAAATCTGTTCAACCCCCCACCAGAGGGAGGGAATAAGAGTAATTTCAGCGCCCAAAGAATCCTGGCGAACCTTCGCACCAAAGAGATCTGAGATCGACCTGAAACGAAAACCCCACCTGCTTCCTGGTTTGCAGGAGCCAGCCGCAGGAGCCAGCCGTGGATTCCCAGACATGGAGACCCAGAATAGTGCTTCAGAGGACGATCTTTGTCCTCTCAGCAGTTTTCAATGGGAAGCTGCAAATAGGCTCCAGGTCACAGGTCAACCAGAGGTCCATGACAGAAACCTGATGGTCCATTTTCAGATTCTTCCGGTGAAGAGTGATTTCCTGGCCCTGCCGACCTCCGACCAACGAACACGCCCAGCACTCGGTCGACCCCTAGGTGGCCTTCCACACGGGCATTGCAGCACTCGGTCGGGCCGAGTCACTCGGTTGAAGGAAGAAACGTTTGAAAGGCTGTCGAAGGGAAGAAGCCTGGTTTTGCAATGGTTTTGCAATTGATTTCCCAACTGGATCCTTTGAGAAGGAAGATAGGGTGACCGTTTTTTGACAGAGTCCCCAGGTGGATGAAAGTCCTCCGGATTTCCAAAGCCGGCCTGGCGAAGTCACCGGCTGGAAGAGCTCATCCCTCCGTTGGCAGAAGATCCCGGGCATGTACAGCCTGGCTATAACAAAGCCTGATTCGCCCATTCTCCACTTATTTTTTGATCTAGAAATTTGAGGTATTCATAGGTCATAGGTATTCCAACGGGTCTTGGCTATAATTCGGTCAACACAAGCATTTGCTTGAGGCGATGGCTGGCTGCCCTGGCGTTGGTCGAGCATTTGCCGACCCGGCGACTTGGCGAGAAGAAACAGCGAGAAACAAACCATGACTTCCAGTGGATCTAGCTTCTTTGATGGCTTTGCCATATGACCCTAATCAGGGGATTTACTTGCCAACCACCTTACATGCTGATGGAATGCTGACCATGGCTAGGACAAGTTATGAGTGACCATTCCTGGGGAGTTTGGCTGTATGATGCTGTACGGCACTTGGGAACCAATGCCTTGGTCCACTAGACATGAAGCTGACATTGCGTTTCGGGTCACATCTGGTACTTATTTTTCAAGTTCCCCAAAACAGTCTTAGTGAAACCAATTGGTTTCACAAAGGCAGAATTCCCAGTCATTTGCTGCACGCGTTAAAAAGAATATCCACGCAACCTTGGATTGTTCTATGTTGCAGTACAAAGGCTTCTGGGTGGACAACCCAGTATATATATATAATTCCCTTCACCGCCCCGCTGGGTATGAGGACATCAGCAGATCTTTCGTTCTTGCAATGACCAACATAACGAATGCAAACTTGACATGCCATGAAACCATGTTTGTTCGCTATCCTTTTCCTGGTTCCTTCGCCCGAGGCGTCCTTCTCCCAGTTTCAGCGCCACCACTGCACTTCCCTGGCACCATGCCTTGCAGCTCCTCCACCACTTGCGCCACCGTCGCCTGCGTGCCACCTGCAAAGCCTTCTCCGCCTGCCTCGCCTCGCGCGCCGCAGCGCGCGGCCGACCGACGCCCTGGCGCTGGGCGCTGTCGGTGTCGACGGAGCTGCCACGGCTACGGGTCCTGCTGGACCCGGCGGCCTTGGGCACCGTGGTGCCTCGCATGGGACAGCAGCACATGTGTTTGGCAGACTATATGCTACAATACTACTCAATACTGCTAGAAGATGGCTACACAGTGCTACATGTGGGAGTTTGATGGATGCAGGGAGAACTGCCATGTGGTCAGTTCGGCAGGTAGTCTAGGTTCGAGTTGTTTCTTGTTCTTTGGGCCAAACAACCAAGAGGTATACCCTTTGCATCCCTTTGCTACACAAAGGAGATTGTCAGATAGGGCTTGGGAAAAAATACTGTTTGAAGATATTTTCGTCTATCGTACGGGAGGTATGTTACAAAGCGAGTCCCTTTTGCTTTTCAGTACCTCTTAGAACTCCTCTGATTGAACACAAAAATAATGATGTGCAACAGACTTCTCATGATTCTCAGGTTGCATATGTCAATGTCCCGAATTCTTGTTGCAGATTCTCAGCTAGCACATGTCCATGTGTCTAAGAAAACGAGAAACACACACATTATGCAACAAGCCTGGACTTCTCGTCGGACATTCCCGAGGTCCAGAGCCTTGCGACCTTCTCCCAGTGGCGCAAAGCCCAGATGCTGCTGAACTGCTGCTGGAGGTTGGTCAACGTGGTGCCTTGGAAGAGGTGTTTCGGTTGTGTTGTGTTCTATGTTCAACAAAGTTGGGGTACACTCCCACCTCCTATGACTCCGAGGCACAAGAGGTCGAGCAAACCACTAGCACCTCTCAATGGCTGACATTGACATCTCGCTAAAGTCAAGAACATCCAGCTCCTTCTGACGCCGATCCCTGGAATTGGTAGTTGCTGGATATGCTTGGAGTCTAACATGACAAAAATGCTCGAACAAAGTTTTAAAGCACAATCAGAAGTTGAAAACTAAACAAATCACAAAGCAAAGATAAGAAGCCTTCGTAACTACCGGAAGTGAAGACTCTTCCTAGGCCACCCTGAACGCGGCGGTCAGTGCCTGCGAGAGGGTCGCTGCCTGGCCGCAGGCGGCCCGGCATACTCCAAGTGTCCAGGGTGGCGAACGGTTTTTTGTCGGCCCGGCAAAGAAGCCATATGAAAGTGGTGTGCGCGTGATTCCAGCTGTTGCAGATGTGGGTTTTGCAAGGTGTCCATCAACATGCAGTGTATCTCAAACATGTGCTTCTATTGGGTGGCCATTTGCCAATTGTCGCAGATGTTGAGATTCTACACGATTCTATACTCTTCAGTGACCCAGACATTGCATCCCTGTGCTGCGACATGAAGTCGTTACATTCCGTTCAGTCAGTGGACGGTCAGAGTGGAATGTCAAGTGCCATTGGCATAGAACGAATGCAACTGTCAAGTGCATTGCCATTGGCATCGAACGCACCGTCACTCACGTCAGCCCACCGTCACTCTCAGCCACCGCTGACCCAGCGGTCGTCGACCCACCAAGGCCCTGTGCTACGCCGACCCATCCGGCCTTGTGTGGCCTGGAGCAAGTCGACCGAGGTGGTGCAGCTGCCCAAAGGAAGACCGGGTGGTTGGTACTGTTGCCACCGAGGTGGTTCAAGACATTTATATATGGGAAAACGGCTTTCTATGTTTTGCCAGGACTTTTTGATCTCTTTTTGTTTGGTCCATTGCCAGATGTGACGTGGACTTACCCCGTTCCAAGGTTATGGCGGAGGTGTGGCAAGAACCCCAAGGCTGTGGGTTGGTTTCAAAGGCAGTCGCAGATAGTCACAGCCTTTGCAAGCAGGTATTCATTATCATCAGATGTGGATGATGACAAATGCCAGGAAATTGAGAGGATTGCAATCACCATCGAAAGATTGAGGTTGCGGGCAGCTGAAGCTCATGTTTTGTGCCATGCTGCTCGCAAGTTGTTGTTTGAATGGAGTGTTATTCTTTTTCAGAGCAAAAAATACATATCCTGTGGAAAGCACTGGAAATCTCAATAATGCCAATAATTCTTGGAATTAGCTAGTGGATATATTGTTGTTTAGGATCGTGCAGTGTTTTGAAAGAGCAAATGCACAAAGTGTCATAGGCACACAAGAGTTCAAATCATGGGAACGGCGGAGCGAGCTGGTCAATCTTGCATCACCATGTGCTGTTGCTGCTGCTGCTGCTGCTGCTGCTGCTGCTCTTGTTGTTGTTGTTGTTGCTGTTGTCGTTCTTGAGTTTAGCCCAGCCACATTATTTTGCTGCCATGGGCTGTCGCTTGCTCAAAATAAATGACACGGAAGGTTCTGTAAACCGGTCCAGGAGAAAGAAAAAAACAGACCACAGATGTTGGCCCATGTGGCCAACAGATGGTCATGTTCTTTTCCCATGTGCTTGATTTTTCACAAGGCTCCCTGACATCATCACCTACAATACTGCACTCAGCGCTTGTGGGAATGGCGGCAAGCTTCAGCAGGCTGGGATTTCTTGCAGGTTGCTTCATTTTGCTTCAGTAGCCCCCATTTGCTTCACGGAGATTGGCGTTTACAGATAGCTCAAGATAGCTCAAGCTCGTCAAGGCAGTTTGGAATTGGTTTTGGTTCAGCAGGATTCGGGAGTCTCAGTGTTTGAGACGGTGTGCATGTCCATATGTTGTCGAACACATTTGTGTGGACATTCCTTCACCGTGGTCTTTCCAAGCCACTTGGATTGTTCGACCTGCTCGAAGGGGGAATGAGTCTTCATAATATGGAAGAATAACATGACTCGTATGACTCATATGAAACTATATATATATACTATGTGTATGTGTATATATATAAATATGAAACTCATTCATATGGAAACGTGTCCAAAACTTCCATTTCTGTTTGCTTGGGACGTTTGGCATGCTTTGCACACTCATGGGTATTGGCATTGGGCGGACTTTTAGGCAAACAATTGCTTTGATTATTATTTCACTGGCCGAAGTTCGGAACATGGGTTTGCAAGGTCCGGGCGTTTCTACATGCAGGTTTAGTTCATATTCGTTCAGGTTCCAAGCATGTGGGGGTCAATCTGGAACCCTCTTATACTGAATAGTTATAGATGAGTGAATCCCCTCTACCCATGTTTGAAACAATGATATGAGTGGACTCCTTCATAGACTCAGCATGGATTGTATCACAAGAATCTCAGAAAAATGCATGCTCTATTGCTGCCAATTGAGGAATTCTCCCAGTCACCAATTCTATCTCATCCATATGAGTTCACTTCTGGATGACGACTGCTAGATCAAGTGAAACCATTTGCGAGATCACTGACTTGCTTAGAGCATGACTTGCGAGATCACTGCCGATGGAAAAATCGATGACTTGTCACAACCCGCATCACTCCTTCCTTCCTCCCATGTATTCCCATGCAGGTGGTGAATCTGATGGCGAAGATGCGTCGCGTGGTCCGCTTGGATGCCCGGTTTGTTCGGTTCGTTCCGGAGGTCGATAGGAGGTCGAGAGGTCGAGGCGGGACGGGCGGGACGTGAACGCTGGATGAGAGGTGTTTCAGGACTAATGAGGGTCCATGGTACTGGACATGGGGACAGGACACCTAAGCAAATTTGTGAGTTCTGGCTTGGGGCTTGGATCATAGAATCTCAGGGATCTGAATGATTTTTTGGACCTCAAGAGTCATTGGCCCATCAGCATCCATCAGCCTTAATTAATTATTGAATCTATGGCTTTTGGATGCTTTTGGCAGTGTTTGGCTTTGACTCTCAAGTGCTTGCTGTGGGACCTTTGGCTTGTGTGCCCTGTCTTCACACTGATGTTTCTTCTTTCCTTGTCTCCTTCAACTTCTCAAGGTCCGACCAGGTCTGCAGCCAACTGAGTGCAGACCAGGTCCCGCCGACGGCCGCCGACCTCGCGAAAGCCCTTAGGATGCGATCACCTACACGGCTGCGATCAGCACGTGTGACGTGGCAGCGCGAAATGGCCATGCGTCTTTGAACCTCGGGCCTTTCTGAAATACCATCTCACTTATATAATTTCTTTTGAGAGCCGGTGCAGAGGACACATCTCGAACTTGCCTTTGCTGGTTTGACTTTTGCTTAGGGTCCCAGGGTTGTGATGCACCTTGGACTTTGGACAAGAATCCACAGGCGATGTTCACTAGGAATCATAATGATCATGAGCAATGGTTGCTTAGTCTGTTTGGTGCTCGCATTGTTTTGTCAGATATCAAGGCGCGCAGACACTTGCTCAACAAGAGTGGATTGAGAGTAGATGGCGCAATTGCTGAAAGGTGGTTCAGATGGACCCCCACCAACTTGGAGTTTGCGAGCCAGGTGGGATTTGGGAGTTGTTGACCGCTGAGGTAGATGGTTCCCTGATAGTACCTGAGTTCAACGGCACGTATATACAGTGTCAGTGAATGGTAGAGGTTCCAATGAACTTGAACCTGCAACGACTGGTCATTTGGCAGCTCAAGCAAAGCCTTCATTAGGATGGTCCCAATCGGTCTTGGAAACCGGCTTGGTGCATTTGTCCAAAGTCCAGGATGGTGGATTACACCACATGCGGAGCACTTTCTATGCTCGAGCACGTGTGCCTTTTCCGGTGCTGGGAATGCGACATGTCCGTTTGAGCCATGTCCAGAGGTGAGAAGCGGCTTCATTGGCAAGGGTCGGTGGGCTTCTTGGATGAGCGTCTCGGAGCGAGGGGCCCTCGGGTCGGGGTGTTCCAAAGAGGCACCCTGTGGGAATCCTTAGAATAGATCATAATAGATCCAACAATCTAAGTCACAGTAATGACGCAGGATATATTTTTCAGACATATTCTGCAAGGCATTGATGGTATTCTGGGTATATAAGGCACCCACCATACTTTGATGTTGGGCTTCCGATGCTTCTGACCTTTGCGGTCCCGGTTCTGGAGGGGTCGAAGAAGACGAGGGATGAATCCCACGGCCCAAAGGTTGGGGGATTCCTCCGAAATCGCAAACCAGTGGCCCTCAAGACCATGAAAAAAATACAGTTCTTCACATACGAAAACCATGTTTTTTTCTTTTTTTTGCTAGGGAAAAACAGGTTTTTGATGGTTTGTGGGGCGCCTGGAAGATTGGTGAAAGAACCTCGGTGTAAAGGATCGGTGTTGGGTGAGTTCTGGGGGGAAGATGTAGCTTGCAGCTCCGCCACACTGCCTGCCCTTTGGTTGCTGGTTCCAGGAGCTTTTGCCGGAGACTTTACCCCTAGAATCATCTAGAATCTATAAGTTTGATCTGGCAGCAATTATGTCAAGTTCTTGGCTTACGGCGACTGGACAGTATTTCATCACAGTTCACATTCGCAGATAGTGATTCCTGAGCAAGGTGCAAATGCCATTCTCAAGAATGCTTCGCAATATTGTCCTGTTGGCGTGTCATTACTTTGAATACATGTAAATCATTGTAAATCACATATGTCGGCAGGATGTCTCTTGAAAGCTCCCTCGCAGTAAATCACCTCTGAGGATGCGAGATGCTCATCTTCGAGCAAATGTGATCACGATGCTTGGCCGGATGTTGACATCTTCTGCGAACTCAAAGACTTGGATTCGGCATGTAATAGACCCCTCTATATATACAGGACCCCGGACCCCCTATATCTTCCGTGTCCATTGAATTCCTCTGGATTCCTTGGGCAAATTTTGGCATCAGTAGCGTCCTTGCTCCTAGTAACGATGCCCCTTTGTTACTAGTAGCTTCTTGCTCCTAGTAGTAAGGCCAGGAGCTACGTTCGTAGCGTCCTTGGGCATGTTTGGGTTTTAAATCTTCATGGAGACCATTTCAGCTGTAGCGCCTTCGCGGGAGGACGGAGGCCAAGAGACTATTTGCTGACCTAACGGGAACTGCAGCAGATTTGGGCCACCCTGTTTTGGGGCGACTCATGTGACCATATGAGCCATGAAATGCATGCTGCATGAGGATAAACATGGGAATGAAACACAAATATGGATTGCATGTTAAGACCTGGTTGTCTCAATTGGTGAGTGTCAAGCCCTGAGACAGTGGAGTGACGGAAATACCGTAGCTGAGTTTGAGATTGCCTTGGTGATCGATTTCTTCGAGCCGAGACAACCTCTTACTGAACCAACTACGTTCGGGGCTCCTGGCATCGCTACTAGGAGCAAGAAGCTACGAACGGGGCACCTGAGGTTCTTCTCCCACATCCCGGGGTGGGTGCGGAGGTTCGAGAAGACCCACACCCCGGCGGTTCGAGCACCTCACTTGGCATTGCACGCCTCGCGCCGCTTCACGGCTCCGCGGGAAATGGCCAAGTGCCGCAAGGTACAACGCGGTGATGGCCACCTGTGGACCGGCTTGGGAGGCTTCCTTGGTCGTGTTGAGGCCCGTTTTCTACGCGTTTAATAGGTTTAAAAACAATGTGGGATGATGTGGGGGTCCAGGCCATCGGCTTTTCAAACAACTTCGGGAACTGCTCATGAATTCATGGATCAATGGTTTTAGGCGGCGTGCAGCTTCATTCCCTTTGAACAGGATGTTAATTGGGACCAGCTTTTTTCACCAATCTTAGCCTGACTCAAATCTGACAATCACATAACAATGACTACAACTTCGACTTCGACCATCAATTGAACAGTGGTTCTTACTTGACGTTTCTGCTGTCGCCCTTTCTTCAGCTCCAACCGTGGGCGATGTATGACACCAACCTTGGGAATGCTGGGTGGGTGCTTTCGGACTGGATCTTGACCTCGTTTTTTTTTTTTTTGCGTCTCAGGTTCCGCTGGTCCGATGGGCGTTCTGGCAGAGGGTCGGCACATGATTCCTCATGGTCAGACGCGAGTGGTCGGTTTCAACGACGGGTTCTGACCAACTTCGGAAAGGATCACCCTCTTCCAGGGGCCCCACAAACCATCAAAAACCTGGTTTTCCCTAGCATAAACCATGGTTTTTGTATGTGAAAACCGTTCTTTTTCATGGTTTTGAGGGCCCCTGGTTATTTGGAAATAGAGTATTCCTGCACTCTAGTTTGGGCGCCCTGCAAGTTGTGTTCGGCTATACTTCCATAGCCTGCAAGTCGTGTCGAACTTGGCTCTATGATGTTCCATGTGTAGCTTGGCCTTCTTTTCAATCTGCACTGGTTGCACTTGACCAAGAACTCTGGAAGGCTAAAAAGCTGGAGTGTCAGTGTCCGAGGCACTTTCGGATGGCTAAACATTTAATGAGTTTTGTTTATTTCCTTGCGACACAGAACAGCGACCTTAGCAACTTGATCCTTGGGCCTGTGCAAATGCGAACTCGTTTGCTGACCAAGTTGAAGATCACTGGACGCGACGCTCGGCTCAACCAGGCTCGGCTCGTTCGCATCGCCATAGGCAGTCTCCAAGCAAAGATCTCGTGTCCTACAACACGGCTTTGAGCTCTTGTGAGCCTCGGGCTGTGACGCAAAGTGGGGAGCGCGAGCGCCTGCTTTTCGGGGGCCCATCGGACGCGGGATGTGGAGTAGCAAGATCCAAATCAACCAATCAAATAGCCCCCCTCGAGACTGAACCTCTTCTGGTGGACTATTCCATTCACCCGTTTGGGGATTGGACCTGCAGAGAGGTGCTCAGATGTGAGTCTTGCGTGGTCAGTCACCGATGGATGCCAAAAAAAAGCGTAGCCTGGAAAGTGGAGCCTTTGGGAAGGCTAGATATACCTGGATCTTCCAACTGTTGTAGCATCTTGTAGCCGAAAGGCAGAAAGTTTGCACAGTTGGAACGTCTAAGTATAGCAAGTTCCTCTGGAGTGCACATTTTTAGGGCTTTTGAGCACCTTCGTCCACAGCAATGGGCCGCAACTACAAAAAACAAATGTTACAGAGGTTGGTAAACACATCCAAACGCGGCACCTCGCGAATCTTGTTCTCAGATAGTGTATGCTAGTTCAAAAGCACCAAAAAAGAAACGGTTCCCGTAAACCATCGCACTATGTAGCACTCAATCAGACTCAATCCAGCTAGGATCCACTCCTTGGCCAAGGAAAAGGGTGAGCAATGGCTGCGGGCCTTCAGTCTCTTCAGCACTGTGGCGCCCAGCGTGGCTTGGCGCCGTTGAGGCAGTCGCTTGTTGCTCTCCCTTCTTAACGATCCGTTTTTTCGCAGGAATTGACCACTCTTTTTTTATCCACGCCTTTTTCTTCTCCGTTGACGGGTTTTGACTAGTTTTGACCCCGTGAAAGGTCATCACCTACAATGGTTGCTTGAGTGCCACAGCCAAAGTGCAGTTGTGGCGCGCTGCTCTCGACCTGCCGCTGGGCACTTCTCATTAAGCGAGGGGGGCACGTTTCAGAGATGCGCGGAAAGGTGAAGGGCGGGCATGGTGTTGGAATGTCATGGGACTCAAATTTGCTGGAAAGCAGCTTTTGGGTGAGCTCAACAGTTCAATTCGAGTGTCTTCAGACGAGCAGCCTTGGGCCGTTGGAGGCTCCTGAAACGCCTGAAAGGCCTTGGGCGGTTGAGATTGTTGAACGAATCTTTCAAAGATCCAAGGCTCCAGCTCAATCCTCGGCCCAGCCTCATCAGCTTTAACACTGTGATGAGTGCCACCGAGAGAGGAGGGGGAACGTTTTTTGTTGAGGTTAAGGGGTAAACTGTTGGTAGTCCACGTTCTTTGGGTGGTGGTACCATGTGTTTGTGATTGAGAACTGATTGAATGCACCTTTGGTTTGGTGGCAATCATTGAAGCTGTCTCGGTCTGTTGGTTGAAAGGCCTTTGCGGACTCATCCTAAAACCATAATCACACGGACATCAAGATGGATACTAATACCGCTACCTACAAGAACTACCTACTACAGGTCTTTTGCAGGAAAGATATGTAATGATATTTACGTTCATGTGGTAGCGGCGGCAGTGTTGAGAATCTCACAAACAGTAGAAAGATATAGAAAGATTATGAAATATTATGTCGTGAGGTTTGAAGAAAAGTCCTAGTGCCTTTTCATTTGTGCCTCGATTCGCCAATTGTTTCTTTGTAGAGCTTCACCTTTGCTTTTTGTGCGCGGGAGTGACATCTCCAGGACGGCAGTGGCACATGGTCGCTGACCTGTACATGCAGTTACCTCGACTGGGGAGAAGCGGATTGATTGACGGCAGTGTTCTCACCTCCAGCCACTCTAGTCTTATACTTATATTCAGAAGGGGAGGCATTCTATAATTATATCAAATATAATATTTAATATACATGCGTATACATTATATAACATTCATTTACAACAGATTGTGATGAAGGCAAAAAAAGACGCACACCTTCTGTTTAAAGCGGGGAAATGTTGAGTTGTCCGCATGTGTCGTTTGAACGAATGGAGAGGCTTCCTCATGTTGTCCCACTTGTTGTTAGCATTGACTTTTCTTGGAGGCATGCACCTTGGCCGAATGACTGATCTCCAGCTCGCCATGGCTGACACCGGACACCATGGCTCAAGGACGCACTGGCTGCGTACTGGCTAGTGACCATGTGCTGGAGATTGCAAGAAGGTGTTTGCTTCTACTGTAGTTCTTTCTCTTTGTGCCAAAAAGAAAGGTGCAGTGCAACAATGGAGTGAATAATGCATACTGGATGCTGGATAGCATTGGATAGCAATGGTATCAGAGACACAGTAACTTATAGGATGTTGTTGCTGTTTGCATTGACATGGCATTCGACTAGTTCAATGCAACTGTCGAATCATGACTCCCCTATGTAGGTTTGAAGTATTTCTTGCAGTTCCAAGAATTGACAGCGGCCTCCAGCCAGAATCAGCTTATGAGCATCAACAGCCTAATAAGTGTGATTTCGCATCCATGCAACGCCACCACTGACCTCGCCGACGTCTCGGGACCTGACCCGGCTGAAAACCCCCGTCCGGTCCAACCGGGCGGCCGCACAGCGGCACAGCGCCGCACCACGGAGATCGCAATGCCGGTGCCCGAGCACTTTGACGCGTGGAGCCGTGCCAGGTGTGCTTGGCACCGTTCCCGGGCAGACCGATGAAACCACCGGACGTAAGCGGGTAGACCGGCGAAAAGGCTTTTTGGGATGGTAGATGATTTTGACCAAACCACTCAACCGCACTCATATTATCCCATAGCACAGATTCAGATGTTCTGACATTGGGGACGGGACAAGAGGTTGTCACGACAAGAGCTTCAAGAGAATCAGATTGCGGGCCGAAGCGAATGCAGGATAATGCCAACATATAGTTTGATTTCCGTCAAGGAACATCAAGGAATATAAAAAGGATATATAGCCATCAATTTAACATGGTTTGGTTTGCAGTACAAGCTACACTACACAGTCGGTGTGTTTCTTTGTTTGTCGGCAACACAAAGTAATTACTACATGGAATTCGATGTGAGATCCAAGCCCCAAAATGTGAACAGAAAACAAATGACATCAAGAAGCAAGTTCATACATGTACAAGTTGCTACGGTCAGAAATTACACCATTTCGTTCAAACTCTAAGTTGGGTGCTGGAAACACGGAAAGTCGTAGGATACCAATATAAACTAGTGACCAACAGCTCCTTTTGCTTGCACTTGTTTAGAACAGTACTGCTGGCTATTGCTACACCCCTGGCCTCCCGAACTGACATGGTCAAAGACTCTGTCCATGAATTCTGAACCACCGATCCAGTCGGCCATCGGCCCGATGCGATGGCCGGCACCGCTCCAAACCCCGCCAGGCGAGGCGTGAGTGAGCCCTTCCAGGCGATCATCGATCAGCTGGTCCAACAGTGGCCTGTTCAAACGAGAAGGGCTTGGGTCACCAAATCTGTGTGTAAAAGAAGAGAACAGCCCGGCACGGTTCCGTGCCTTTCGAAGTTCGGTGGCGCCGGCTGGGGAGCGCCCAAATTGTTGGGTTAGAAAGATATGGACAGGTTGGAAGTTGGTTGGTGTCCATGTGTCCGAGCTTGAATGAAAGGCCATGGGTCTCTCTAGTTTGTCATGTTGATTCAAACCAACTCGTGAGAACAAATTAATCATATGTACTTCATCCGACAGATCAGTGAGACACATTTTCCCCCAGGTTTGTGTGCGCTTGGATCACGAGGAACCCCCATATATGTGGGAGCCACTCTTGGGAGTTCGATAGAACCCATGTTTTGGTTCGAGGAAAGCGTGTTTTGTGAACAAGCTCAGTAAACTCGAACACACTAGATGTTGTGTTCCAAGCAGCACATCATGCACTCCTTTGCACGCCTCATGAGGAAGATTGGAGTCGGAAAATGCAACTCTGAGGCATCTCACAGAGATCGGAGTGGTGGATAGGCCTGAGGTGCGCCGAAAAAAAGCAGTTTCTTCATTTGTTTCACCACCCAAGCCCAGCGGTTTGCTTGGTTGCTTGGTTGCTCCGGGAGAACCACCGTGGCCGTTGGCGTTTGTCATTCATGTTGTTGCTTGTTCGTGCTGTTCCAGTGTCCTTGCAGGTCACATCATGCAACTCACACCCAAATGGCACCGAAACGGCTGAGTTGAACAAGACAACTTAGACATCGGATTGGCGATGTGAAGGAACAGTTTTTCACTTGGTGCTTTTCTCCGGACCCTTGGCCCTTGGAAGAGGAGCGTTCCTCCACAAAAACGGCGATTTGTGTTGCAGGTTTTTGTTGCAGATCGGGTTCTCGGAGATGTCTAACCACTGCAAAAACACGTTTACATCGATTCTTAAGAAATTATGTGTCCAGAATCATTTGTTCCCTATATAGGGATCCAAGTACCTTCTCATAAGGTGATTGGAGAAGACTATTTATGTAGGCTTGGAGGGTCCAAGTGCCTTTTGAGAAGATACTTGGATTCCTAGGGGGTTGACCTATTCTTCAACCTTGTGAGTAGTATGTGGGGGTTGCCGTGTTTGGAAAAAATGGGTTCTATTGGGGTGTGTGTGGAACGAACATATCCATATATGGGTTCCTGTGTCATGAGCATTGGGGGGACCAAACGGATCACATCCTGATTTGGAGTGTGGAGAGAGAACCAAATTCAGGCGGTTTGGAGTTTGGTTCGTTCATTTCAATCACGTGGGAGGGGTGAGACCACGAAAGGGCCTACATCAGCCTACCACTTGTGAAGTCACGTCAACTGTTTCGTTGGGAAATGGATGTGTATTCTACTAGGGAGACCCCAACCACTGGGGTCTTCTTCCATTTTACTTCTTCCAACGGTCGAACTGGGAGGGTTCCCTAATACACACCAAACAAAAGAGCGCGGCTTCCCTGGACGACGTATAGACAGAGATGGCCAGAATCGAAAAACGTTTTTCTGGACCACAGGCCAGATTGGGTGCACAATTTATAAAAATAGATTCGCATGCGCCCTATGTTTCCTTTTGAGTGATTTGGACATGCCGTGCGTTTCTTGCAAAACTTTTTTTTTGCTATTTGCTAAGTCACGAAAGGTAGCCTGGTAAGGACTACCTTGAGTTTGCTTTGCGAAGCAAAGGGACTGGCTTGAGAGCTTGCTCGGGACTAAAGATTGGTAGATCAATGTCTAACACCCCCCCCCCCCCCCCCCCCTGGGATGAATGATAGAAAAATTAATTAGTTCCCCCCCCCCCCCCCTCCACTCCCCTCCCCGTCCCCTCCCCTCGTCGCCAGCACTACTAAATTCTGGACATAAGGTGAAGTCATGCGCTTAACAGTCACAGCAGTACGACGCTGGCCATGAGGTTGCGCAATACAGCACGAACCCTGCGCAATGAGGTCGCGCAATGCAGCTTCGATGCCGCGCGTGCGCACCCGGCAGCCTGACACAGCGCGTACTGCATTCACAGACCATATTGCTCGACACCAACGAGCATCGATGCAACACAGCCTCTCTGCAAAGCCCTGTGGAGAAACCCCTCGCGTCGCGGAACACCATTCGACTCAGCCTTATACTCTAGCGTGGCGAAATCTTACCGCATCGTGGAGCACACCCACCATAGCGTGACGTCCATCCCTGGCAGTACCGGCCGCACCCCTCCAGCACTATCCTTACAAGGGGGTTGGTCACTGAGTCACTGCGGCTTCGACGCAACGCGTGCAGGCCTGTAATCCTGACACAGTGCGTGCAGCTGTGGGACCATAGCTGGTACACATGCGAGCGTTTACGCATTGCGACTTTTACGCACGCCTGTTTTCACACACCTAGGCACAAACGAGCGTCGACGCAACGCAGCCTCTCTGCAGAGCCGTGTGGCGCAATCTGACCGCAACGGAGTTACTCTTGAGCCTTCTTATGCCTTCTTGTGCTCTCTGGCTTTGTTGGTTTCATCCATGATTGACCAAGGGGCACGTTCCTGAAACACCGGAGACAGTCCCTCACCAGAACAGGTCCCGACAGCTACTCGGTCCGTCTCTACCTTTCATGTTTCCCCGCTCAAAAGTGGGTGTAGCTCTCCACAGAGGTAACTAGCACAAGAAACCATCCGCATAGAATTGTAGGACCACGCCTGTGGCAAGCAGATATGGTCAGTGTACAGGATTTTGGCAAAACTAGCTTGGTAACCTACCCCACCTGGTCAACCTTGGTCTAGAGGTCTAGAGGCTAGCTATTTCACCAGTTGCCAGCAGCTATGGTCTCCAGCTTTGACCACCTCATTGGGTCACCGACCCATCAATGCAGACATCATACCGCCCGTGTGGTCAGGTGCATGAAGCCTCCTTTGCCTCTCCCTTCGGGTCTCCCGTGGAGAAGGTGGGAAGAGATACAGAGCTCTGGATCGAACGTGGAGATACCGCACACCTAGAACCTGAACGACCCCTACTTTTTGGAGGATCAACTATCCAAAATATGTGCTTGTTCTCTATATCAAGAAAGGAGGTCAAATGGGTTCTAGGTGTAGATGAAGACTTCACTTTACCAGCTATGTCGTGACTATACACATGGGATCGCATGGGTAAGTATGGCAGATCGAGCAAGGCACAGATGTGGTTTTATTTACATTGCGTAGAAAGGGCCATTTGTTGATGTGCAGCTGTACCAAATCACATTGAGGTGCGCCGGGTGGTGCAGCAAATGGAATTTGGGAATAGATGTCGAGGCAACGGCAACAACGGTCATTTAGCAAACTGTATGCACCATGGTGCACTCACCGT